TTAGAATTATAATAATAATAATAATAATAATAATAATAATTCTTTTATACATATAAATAAGTTTTGTATTTTATATATACACATGTCGGCCTTTTCTTCTTCAATACTCCCCTCCACCCCCCACCCCTCTCTCCCTTCTTCTCCCTTCTTCTCCCTCACTCTCTCTCTCTCCGTTCACCCCCCCCCCCCCCCCCTTTTTTTTTGCTCTTCAAAAAAAACATTTTTACTGCCTTCCTATTGGCCAAACTTTAGGACCAGAGCCAATTTCTTTGTCTCACCCTAGATTCTATAAAAGATAATAAAGTCGACGCGCTCGGTGTCCTTTTGTTCCCAACCTACACTTCTTTTTTTCTCTACTCATCATGTCTCGCTACGATCACTATCCCGAGAATGTCGGCATCCTTGCCCTCGAAATGTACTTCCCATCAAGAGTAAGTCTCATTGGACTCATGGTAATCTCATCTTGCTCATCCCTTCTCTTCTACAGTGTGTCGAACAGACTGCTATGGAAGTATATGATGGTGTCAGCACTGGAAAGTACACCATCGGTCTTGGACAGGACAAGATGGCCTTTATCGACGACAGAGAAGATATTCAGTCCATTTGCTTGACTGGTAAGATTTAGTATCTCGAGTAGTTTGTGCAGTCTGTGTAGAAGTTGGCCATACAAGAAACTCTGGGAGCTTACATTTCTTGGGAACTTTTTCTCAGCTGTCCACAACTTGATGGAGAAGTACAACATTGCCTACACAGACATTGGCAGACTTGAAGTTGGTACCGAAACCATCATTGATAAGTCCAAGTCTGTCAAGACTACCTTGATGACCTTGTTTGCTGAGCACGGCAACTACGAGATCGAAGGTATCGACACCACAAATGCATGCTATGGTGGCTTCAGCGCATTCTCCAACGCTGTCAACTGGATCGAGTCTTCCTCCTGGGATGGTCGTTATGCTATTGTGATTGCAGGTGACCTTGCTCTCTATGCTTCGGGTGCTGCTCGCCCCACATCAGGTGCTGGTGTGGTTGCCATGTTGGTTGGCAAGGATGCCCCCATTGTCCTCGAGCGTGGTCTGCGTAGCACTTATATGGATCATGCCTACGACTTTTACAAGCCTGACATGCATTCCGAGTATCCCATTGTCGACGGAAAGTTCTCCAACGTCTGCTACATCCGTGCCTTTGATGCCTGTTACAACAACTACATGAAGCGTCTCTCCAAGACCATTAAGAAGGATGTTACCAGCATGGAGGATGTCGACTATGTTGTTTGCCACTCCCCATACGCCAAGTTGGTTACCAAGTCATTTGCTCGTTCGGTAAGTAAAAATTAAAAAAAAAAATTAAAAAAAAAACAGAAAAAAGGAGTGGAATGCACACACACACACAATACAAAACACCTCGCTGTTTCTGATATTCTTTCTCATCTTCTTTTTTCCTTGTATAGGCTTATAATGATTTCATGGCAGATAAAAAGAACCCCAAGTATGCTGCTCTTGCTCCCTTTGAAGAGCTTGCCTACGAAGCCTCCCTCGAGAACCGTGATCTTGAGAAAGCCACTGCCACTCTTACCAAGGCTGGCTATGCTCAGAAGGTTGGACCTGCCGCCTATGCTCCCAAGCAGATTGGTAACATGTATGCCGGTGCTGTCTGGGCTGGTCTCGCCTCTCTTGTGTCCGAAGTTGAGGTTGATACCCTGAAGGACAAGCGTGTCCTCCTCTACTCCTATGGTTCTGGCTTGGCTGCCTCCATGGTTTCCTTCCGTGTTGTGGGCTCCACTGCTGATATCAAAGCCAAGCTGAACCTCCGTCAGCGCCTTGATGCCCGTACACACTCCAAGCCCGAAGCCTTTGCCGAAGCTATGCAGATCCGTGAAAACACTCACAATGCATGCAACTATAACCCCATTGGCAGCCTCGAACATATTGCCCCTGGCGCGTACTATGTTGACAAGATTGATGACAAGTGGAGACGCTTCTACAAGCGTAAAGATTAAGGAATAATTTATCAAAGTCAAAAGAGAAGCCTGTCTATAGTCATCCTTTCTTTATTTTATTTTTTTATATTTACTTTTTATATTTCTTTTATAGTTCCTTTCATCTTCTCTGCTCTTCTTTTTATCCATATACTCCAATAATAATCATCTTTACACATCTAAATTTTTACACCATCTTTAATGGAACGATATTTAAGAACATAGAAGAATTAATCCAGGGGAGGGGCAAAGATTGGCGTTGCAACATTAGGGATCATCAAGATCATCACCAAGTCCATCAACAGGATACCAAACTATATAATACAAAGCACTTCCAAGAACAAACCTCGCAACCCAATCAAAAAATTGTTTTCGTATTTTCAGAAATAAAAATCGTACCTTTAGAAACCAAGGAACTTGCTTAGATAACATAGTATATGTGCCCTGACAACGACTTTGACAGTTGTAACAGAGTAGGCACCAAGAGTATTCTGACCTGAAGAGTCATAAATCAGCTGTTACAAATTTCATTGACGACGATCCCTCTGCCGCTGTTATTAAAGTGACCGAGTCCATTTATTGAAATAGTTTCAATGATTGTAAAGTTTTCAAGCAGCACAGTTTATAACTTTATGAGAAACGAGTGCAACATTTACACTATAGAAAAAAAAACATTCTATCGAAAGAAATAGTTCCAAAAGTACTGAAGAGCAATATATATTGGGTTTGTAAATGGGAAAATACATATATGGGCTTAACGACACTGTGTTAACAGTTCAAGTACTTCTTGAAGATGTCCTCAATGGTTATGGATTGGACATAGTAGGTATTATGTTTCAAATAGGAGCTTCATATTGACCTCTTTGACAAACCCTTCTGTTTGGGTTCGTATATGATATCGGATATTAAAGTATCTCAAATACAATATGGAGGACTTCATGATGTTCTTCCAAGTGCTTTCCTGTAAGGTTGATATGCATATATCATTACGAGCTTATAGAATCACGCCACTGCAGTATTCGTACAGGGGGGTTAATAGGTAGTATCTCCTTGCATAGCGTCATGCGATGCAGATGTAAGTACTCTGCCCTGTAGGTGTATATTGTGCTGCTTGAACAAGGTCTTAAGAGCAGAGTCGGCTGATTTGCACTTTTTTTGACACCATACCTATAGGTAATCCGCCTTTTTAGGTTATATCAGGCATCCAAGTAAGTTTATAGGGGAAGATCCCAAGTTGTGTCTTTCTAAGACGATGTACAACTCATTGCCGGTAAGAAGAATTGAACAGATATTGCTGGGCGAACCGTCCGATTGAGACTTTCCACGCTGTGCACCCAACCCATTCACTTTCACCACAGAGTTCTATCATGCAATCCAAGTTGCCTTTTCTTTCTCGGTTCAGTTTGGCTTGGTAAATTTATAGTTCTATCGACGTCATATAACTGCCATTTCGCTACTGCATAAGTCATATTCTTTTCCATTGCAATCTACAAAAAACTAGACATCGATCTTGAATCCAATCACATATTTATTTATTTATTCAGGATAGTGGTTCATTTTGTGTTTTGTGGTATATGCAAAGGTAGATTCATGTGTTTTGATTTGAGCGTTGCTTCCTTTAAAAAAATCGATAAAGAGGAACCCAGATACTTCCAAGGTAGTCGTACTTGGTAAAACCAATAGTAGTGGCCTACCTTTTCAGCAAATAAGAGTGACAGCTCAAAGGAACTGAGTATTGATTCCAATGTCTTTCAGGGTATGGATATAGTCTTGTCACCAATACATATATATTTGATACACTTGGTAACGATACTTAATTTCGGAATCAATAGCGCACGCTGTTTTGATTTTATGACACACAATTTTCGAGTTGGCTATGGGTGACAAAGGAAATGAAATGGAATGGTGCCAATTAGGTGTTTTGTGTGGTGTGAGATAACAGCCGTTTGCAACCTACATTTAGGCTCGGCCGATACAAAGTATATGAAACCATTGTTCACTCGCTTCATTCTTACTGCCCTCCAATCATAATTGCTTATTAAAGTCACATACCCATATGCACATATACATACAGCATACAAACATATAAACATGCGTGCATACACATATACATCTATACATTTTAAAGTTGAAATTCTGATCAATAACTATCATGTTTATTTTGGTTTCCATACCAAAGTGTCCGTGCACCATTACCTCTATATATTTATCTATATGCAAACGATTTTTGTGATTTCTTTCTCAATAACTTTAAACGCATATAAAAAGGGGGCCAATATCTTGTTGTTTTTGTAGTTGTAAGGACCTAACCCAGATGATAGTTTTATTTTGAATGTATAAACAATAAAAAAAAATAAAGAAAGAAAGAGAGAGATAGAGATAGAGATAGAATAGAGAATAAAGAGAGGTTGAGAAAGAGGTAAAAAAAAATCAAGAGATAGTGGTAGAGAGAGATGCGGTAAAAATTCTAAAGACACAATGGGAAAAATACACATTTTTTTTTTCTTTTATCGCCAGTCGCGAGTACCCATGGAACTCTTGTTTGCGAACAAATGCTTTGGCATCTTTGTCTGGATACCACGATCGGATTCTCCTCGCTTGCCCATTCTGCTGAAGTTCTGCTGGGCAACCTTCTTATTCTTATCAGCTTCCATCTTCTGCTTAACGTTACGGAAACCAAGGTTGCTCATCTCCAGAGACATAGATTCATCACGCTCAGCTGCATCGGCATCCTTGACAGCTTCATCACCAACAGCTTCGGCACGAGTACGCTTACGGCTAGCAGCCTCAGTACGTGTACGTTCAACAGCAGCGTTGGTCTCGACACCCATCTCAGACAATTTGCTACCCATCTGACCAATTGTGCTACGCTTGGCAGCAACCTTGAGGGGTATCGTAGGTCTGTTCTTACCGTGAGCAGCACGGTGAGCAGCGACAATCATCTTCTTACGATCACGGATAGCATCAGCAGTATCTCTGAGAGTCTCTTCATCAGAATCGACCTAATAAAAAGCAAAACCATGAATAAATGAGTTAGAAAATGTCAATAGTCAGATATACATATTTATATATATAAAAACACAGTAACATACCATGTCTTCGTTCTCATCATAGAAGCCTTCTTCGGCAAGACGCTCTTCTTCTCTCTCAAGAGCTTCGAGCTTCTCTTCGATATCAGGATCAATAAAGTCAGCAACATTGCGACCATCGTAGAATTCGGGGATAGCATCGTATCTCCATTCATCTTCGGCAAGCATGTAGCTCTCTACAGAACAAAAAAATAAATAAAATTTATTTTTTCTCTCTCTGGTAGTTTAATAAAATTCCATTCAAACTTACTCTTGAGATCGACATTGTAAACACCGGCACCACCATTCTCGGCCTCAATATCCTTGGCAAGCTTAGGTCTGTTGGGGTCGTTAACATCGAATTTAGCCTTCTCCTTAGCACCAAGGGGAATGTTGGGCATACGGCTAATGTTGTCACGAGCAGCAGGCTGGGCCAAATGGATCTTGTTGATAACATCGTTAATCTTGTTACCCTTCATCTTCATCTCAACACGAGCAGCCAAAAGCTTGTCGCAAGCCAGGTTACGGACATCCATGACACCAATATCATTGTAACAAGACATGGTCATGACAGTAGCGTTCTCATCCTTGGCAATCTCCTCGATCCAGGCACGCTGCTCTTCGGGAAGATCTTCAGGCTTGGCCTGGTCAATCTTGTTGATAACCAAGCAAATTGGCTTGTTGGCAAACAAAGGCTTGATGCTGTGGAACAACTTGACCTAAAATTCCCAAAAAAAAACGCACACACACACACAAACACAATTATTGTCAGCAATCTTGGTCACTCCAATGATTAGAGAAAATGCTAGACATACCTGATCTTCGACACTGTAACCACATTGTTCAGACAAATCCATAAAGTACATAATGCATGCTCTCAAGTGAGCCATGGCAGTAACAGACTGCATCTCAATTGTGTTGCGCTCCTCAAGAGGGTGATCAAGAATACCGGGAGTATCAATAACCTGCCAGCGCATATACTTGTAGTCCATGTGACCGACAAAGAGTGATTTGGTGGTGAATGCGTAGGGCTGAACATCGACATCTGCACGGGTAATCTTGTTGATGAAACTGGACTTTCCAACATTGGGGTAACCACAAATCAACAAGGTACGGGTGTTGGGGTCAATTGATGGCAAACGAGACAAATGCTGGCGGACCTGCTCGAGGTAAGCCAAACTGTCCTTTTGACGCTTCATGATAGTAGCCATACGACCCAAGGCAGCCTTCTTGAGCTGCTTGCAACGGTAAAGGGAGTCACCGAACTTCAAGAGACGGACGTAATCCTTGGCAACTTGGTCAATCAAGTGGCGGGCGGTGTTGATCTGACCAAGCGCAAGCTTGTAATGATCCTTATCGTACAGTACGTTCATCAAATCGGCATAAAAAGGGTGGATATCCTACGAGCAAAAAAAAAATATACAAATACATATATTAATATTATTTTCTTCTTTTCTTCTTTTATATTATTCTCGGGATAGCTGACTCACCTCAAGCTTGGGGAACTCATCGAGAATGTTCTTGAACTTCTCTTCAAAGTTCTCCTGGGTGAACTTGACTTTACGCATATAGAACTGTCTGATACGACCAATGTTGTAGTTTTTGTGGATCACAGTAGGAGTCTTGCGCTGAGTCTTTGACAGGATGATGTCAATGAAGTCAGTGCCAGTAGGCACGGGCTCGATCTTCTTGAAGTTGTACAGGGACATGAGATGGCGAGAACAGATCGGGATGAATAAGAAATTAAAAAAAAAAGGGAATCAAATCAAGCGATTAAGTAAAGATCGAGTTTGAAGCCGAATTTCTTTGGATGCAAAAAAAAATTGCTGTTCTCTAAAAAAAAAAGCCACAGTCACCAAGTGACTTTCCAACAATCAGGCACCTCTTTTTTTTTTCTCTTTCTCTTTGTATCCTGTTTAGCGTTTGTTTAAATTAAAGTTAGGTCCAATAGAAAATGCTTTTTTTCTTAAAATGGATATGCATTTAACACCCAGATTTAATCCTGATTTCCTGTTTAAGAATTATTTTTGAAAAAATTAATTCACATACTTGAAAGCTGCAGTTTGTTTTAAAGGAATATAAATATATATCTTTTTTAAAAAGTATGAGAGACAAGAAATAAGGGCCTTTATACCTAAAGCTATTAAAAGAGAGGTATTACAAGCATAATTATATGTGCCTTGTGGTCTTGTAACCAACTTTTACTTTTGTAATATTATATTGAGTTTTGCCAATTTCTTACTTTTTTGTAGTTTCAGGGCTACTTTAACATAAACCGAATATCCGGATAAAAGAAGAAGATTTATTTTTATTTATTTTTGGCTTTAAGCTCTTCCCTTACTTTTGACAGCTTGCGTATAGGACATTTACAATTAAGTATACTTATGGAAATAGATGGCCAGCCTTTTTTTATATCCAAGATTACTATAACAGCTAAAATAACACATACACACACAATTTCATGGATTTCTTATTTATTTCTAGTTAATTGTCAAGGCATCAAGTGAGAATATAAATTTATGTGCAAAAAGTACTCGTTAAGCGCTGTTAGCACCAAGACTTAATTCTTATCTTTTTTTATATTTAGAGTTTGAGGATTTAATGTATTTATATGTACATATTTCCCCAAGTACTGGATCTAGCATCTCAAGCACAACTTTACTATTATTATACAATATGTAGTATATAAAGCAATTGGACCCATTATTGACAGATACTTTGTATATACTCAAGTATTTAGTTTCATATGTGCTAGATTATAGTAGTTCTAGTAGAATTGTTCAAGAAGCATACCCTTAAAGAGCTTATTTGGCTTAGTTTCTGATACATGATTTTAACAAAAAAGATAATCGTTAAGCAAAGAATTTATTAGAGTTATACTGTCAACATGGCTTCAGAATTGCAATTGATTACATTCTGCTTTGATAAAATATAGAAATTATAAGACTAATTGCATATTATTAAAAAAGCTAAATAGATTGATATGAGATCTGTCAAAAAAAGCGAAACTTAAAACGGGTGTACCTTTTTTTTCATGACGCATATTCTATTTAAAAGACAGCATATCGAATGAATACAAAAGAAAGATCTAATAAAAATGGATCTGATTAGCAAACGTGTCTTGTAATCAAGGATTTCTATAATGGAGTCTACAGTTATTGAGCTAAGCAAGCAATCTCAACATCAGAAATTGGTTGATTATCTAAATGAGCAACCCTTGGAAGAGGTAAATGGTTCAAGTAGATCGATGTACTTTGAAAAGATCAACAATTATTCACACCATTACTGCGGAATTCTTTTACAATAATCCACCATTCTTTAAAAAAAAAAGATTACAAAATCTACACTCTCACAACTAAATAATGGCTCATTGCTGAATAATGATCCAATTCCTTTTATTCGAGCCATTATCTTAGGTAATATAAGGGAAAGAAGAATATGAAAACCCTGATTCAATAAAAATGTCAAATATGTGTGTGTATATGTATTGTAGGCTCGCCTTTAGACGGAGGCGAGGATTGTATCAATCGACGCTGTGCACTTCTTGACAACATTATTACTTGGTGAATAATCTATTTTCAATAAAATATAAGAGAGAGAGTGTGTGTGTAGGTGTGTGTTTTTCAACTAGCACTAAAAAAATACATATATATGTATGTATGTATATCATTTTTGTTAGGATGAGTAACGATGTAGAGAGTATAAATGGAGCTTCAGCGAAAATTGCAGCCAATGTAGCTAATCTAATTTGGCCAGAGGCAAGGATATTTAAAAATGATAATGTCAATATCTACAAACAGAGAATCTTATGCGAATATATAATTATATAATTATGTATATGATTTAGATTGATAAATTACCTGTTCACGACTTGCACAAAGCAAGCATACGGATACTAAACATAATTTATGAAGACAAACCTATGAATCCGCGTCTATTTGAGATCATCTCTAAAGTGTGGAATATTTTATCTGCATCTGATTTAGCCGCAGAAGCCGATAAAATGCTCAACGATATTTGTAAAAGTGAATGGCATGCTGACGTGGCGATGAGGCTGGCCTCTGCATTCAATGAGATGGAACTCACTCAAAAACAACTGGAACGTGTTATTAGTCAATCGCTAAAACAGCTCGCTAAACTTGACCCAGAAGAAGTTCCTCCGTTTATTTATCAGCTACTTTTGCTTTCTCGAAAGGTCAGTCTTTATATTCTGTGAATAAAGGAATGTTATATATATATATTAACAAAACATAAAACATATTAGGGCCACAAGCGCTTGATATTGAGTGGGATCTGCGATTTTTTTGCAGATTGCAACAAAAGGCCAGATAATTTAGAGGCATTGAGGTAAAGCTAAAATTGATGGCATATTTACACAACAATTCTTCATGGTAATTAATATTATGGGACATAACCTGATAATAAGTCGCACACAAGGGACAGTAATGCTCCATATATCTTTTGCTATTAAGCAAGATCAGGTAATTTAAATCAATCCACCCTTCACAACCTTGTGTTATTATCGTTACTACTATTGATTCTATAAAAAATAAACTCACAATATAATTAATATTTTAGGAATTGGGAATAGAACTTGTCAAGTACTTAAAGTCTGAAAGGATAAAGATGCTAGAAACATTTAATATGGCATGTCTTTTGTCGACAGCACGTCTTCACAGATTAGAAGACAACGTAAGTCTACTGTATACTACCACCAACACACATATTAACAACTCTTTTGTTTTCTTTACAAAAAAAAAGATTTTTGACCTTATAAAAACCACAATTATAACAATCTACAGGGATACAGACAGGTCGCGAAAAAATGCATGGATATCAAGTATGCTACATATATAAACACACAAATACATAGTATATACAAAAGCGATGTGTCTCTAAAGAAATTATTATTGCAATATAGAGTATTTTAGCGTAGACGGTGATGCTGTGAAGAATTTGCTTTTGGACATTGCTGAAAGGTCGGCATCAGGATGGGATCAAGTTATTCAGAGCCTTACAAAACTCGCGATGATTTTGATCGACACCGTAGCTAATCAAGGAAACGGGCTCAAATCAAGTAAGAATTTGGTTAACAACATCGATCTCTGTTATCACCAGTACCTTATGAAAATGGCTGTAAATAAAATAGATACGGTAACCGTTAAACCCAGTAAATCAGCCGAACAAAAACCCATGGACAAGATATCATCTGTTGGCATCGATATTTTGCTGAAAATGTTCAAAGTAAGGCTGGACATATATATATATACAAATGAATTATCAAAAAAAAAAAGACGCGCAATCTGACCAAATTTGTTTGAAACTGAAGCTTCATGATGTGGTACGCGGTGAAATACTAGAACAAATCACATCGCGTATAGTATCACGCTCCAATAGTGCTGTGGATTTCTTACAACTATTAGAAAATATCATAAAAAAACACCCACATGCCGCTGAAAATTATCTCAATAATGTACGTCCTTTTCATCTTATGAAGATTTGATAGGATGAATTGTTTTTTTTTGTTAATCTGTATTCCAATAATAGATCAAAGACACATTGGATTTCCTTTCATTCTTACCCAACCCTGCAGCCCGCCAACTTTTAACAGCTATACAGCCTGTAGCAAGTGAAAATGACCAATTTCGCGACGGACTAATGTTGGTTTTACGAAAGAGCATGTTCTCAAAGTAAGTATCTTTATGGGCTAATTGTTGCTATCTACTTACTTTTTTTTTGTTTCTTTAATATACTTATTCTATTTACAGAGATCAGGATGGACGTATGATATCTGTCTATGGATTTCTCAAACTTCTTCAAGGACATGTGTCTGAAGACACGATACGTGAAGGAAACAATAAAGCAACACTGTCTATTGCTTCAGAAGAAATTGCATTTGAGATATTAGGTAAAAAAAAAGAGGTCGATATTATTTCAAAATCTCATATATAATTTTCTAGGGTTACTGCGTCGTTGTTTTAGTCAACAGATAGAGGTTAGAGCAGAAGCTTACGAAGGTCTTGGAAGGTTAGCAGGCCAGCGTACTACCTTGGCTGGTGATATCTTTGAAATTCTTTATGCTCAGGTAAAATATATATACAGACACACACACACATATATATATATTCAAGAAACTTATAACCATGTGAAGCTTCTTAAAATATATCAACAAGATACTGGTGTTCCTACTCCCTTGAAGCTGGATGTTTGCGTTGAAAATTCTTTAACAGGAGGTCGTCCTCGCATTGTAGAGCCTATTCCAATTTTATTGGCTAGCATTCTCAAAACTTTACGTATTCTCGACACAATGGAACACAATTCTGGTAAAAAAAATGCGAAACTAGGAAGGAATTATAGCACTTCTTTTTTCTTTTTTACTTATGTCAGGGGAATCTAACAACGTATTGAACACGTATATTTCCATTAGTGACATCTGAATCAGTAAAGCAATGTCGTGAACATATTAGCTCTCTTACATTCCGCCTTTCAAAAGCTGATCCAGATGACTATGAACTTGATAAATCCGCCAATTTTGATGCCTCCGCTTATATTGGCCAACGAAATTTGTTTTATTCCGAACTTCTCTTGGGATCCTATGAAGTAATTTTTTTCTTGACAAAAAAATAATAATAGGAATATCTACCTATTTCTATCGTACTAGTAGCTAACTGTTATTATCATTTTCTTTTTTTTTTAAAAAAAAAAAGGCTGTTATGGAATATGAGTTTATGACCCAAAAGAACTCACAAGAGTCTTGCGAGCTTGTACTAAATATTTTCAAGAAACGTAAACTTCTTCTTCAGTTGGTAAAGGAGAATGCAGCAGGAGATAAAGGTACGTGCCCAATATCGCATCTTTTGTAAAACGATAAAATGCACCAATTATATATAAATATATATATTTGTTATTGTTAAGCTGTTTAAATATTTTTATACGAATTTAGGGCGTAAAGTTACTCCTTACCTTTCGAGTAAATCAATCCTGTCATTAGAATTCATTACATCAATCACTCAACTGATGTTTAGTCGTGATACCGTAAATAGTCCAATAAATGTATTACGCTCGGATATCAACTTTGTTTATTACATCGTATCTGCAACTTACAACGTACTCAAGGAGGTAATATTACTTTTAATTATATACACACATTTATACATATCTTTTGGTTAGAAGCTAACAACCAATTATAGGCTATTGAAGACGAAACCAATGAAAGTGGAGAAGAGAATTTCACGAGTTGTGTTATTCTTGGGAAGGTTTATATACATATTCTAATGACTGAAGGTCCTGACAGTAGTTTTGTTGAATCCCAACCAAAGAAGGTGAGTAAAACAGATGAAAGCTAAGAAGATATCAAAGAAGATCTTACGCTTGAATTATAGGGAGTTTCTACTTTGGGAATGTTAATCGACACATTACACGGAGTATTTGAGATCATTACCAAAACATGGCCAAATCGTTTTATTGAATTTACTGGATCGCTGTTAAGTTCGATAGAGAACGCTTCTGATCCAAAAGATTATACATCAAGCAACAATTTAATTCTATCCAAAATGATTGAAAACTTCGAGGTAAGAAGCCGCTGGCAGATTTAAACTTATAATAACACAATCTTGTACTTCTTACAACTAAACACATGTCCTAAAAGAGTGTCGTTATAAGCTACTTGTCGGATCGCTCGCCGCTGTATCGAGAAGCTACCCGAGTGATGCAAACGATCGTCTTTTTTTCTGCAAGGCTGGATCGTAAAGCACCTGGCTTTACAAAATGTGCCCAAAACATTGTTACTTGGCTAGATGGCTTTGTAAAGGAACGCTCGATTGAAGATATACCGCTTGCCAAAGAAATGGTTATGACACTCATTCAAATAAGTGCCGAAATCGATAGCTTTGATACTATTATCGCAATTTCTAAAGATGTACATACAATTCTTGGTGATCTAGAATTCGAGGAAGACATCGACCACAATGAACTCAATATTTCTTACATGCTAATCAACGAAAAAACTTGCGGTGCCATCACACTTCAACTTTTATCGTTTCTTGATCAAGCATTTGAAGATATGGCTTGGTGTATTGGGCATCTTAAGCTTTCCACAGGTACTTTTACATGAGCAATATTTAATAACAATGAGGGTGTGCCTAATAAAATAGTTATATGTGCTCTAAACTCGAACGATTGCTGTATTTTTATCTATGTAAAAAAAAAGACTCTGCGCCTGAATTCGAATTGGCCGTATGCAAGCGCATGTTGTCTTACCTATCAATTACCAGTGAGCTGACAAAAACCGTACTTGTCGGTATTCCAGCTGAAAATCTTATCAAGGTTCTTGCCAAAACCTACAAGACTCTGCTTGCCTTAGTTAAATATGTGAGCAAAATGCAGTACAACTATAGCTGTATACTTGTATTCGATATTAAATTATTATTACTTTTTGCTCTTGTAGAAAATAAGTAACCTTGTCGAGATAACTGATGACTTTGTCGCAGTAATTGCTATGGCTGGAACTGGCGTTACAGAGAAGATGTATAGATTTCTGACAATATATGGTCAGTACCAAGACGACACTATCGCACAAAGTGGTCGTAAACAAAAGGGGAAGGGCAAAGAACCTTCGAATGCACGCGAAAAGGTTAGCAAAAAAACTTATTTTGGGAGCTCTCAAACGAATTCCCCCAAAACAAATATGAATGGCTTATTTAAAATTTTATATATTTATGCTTCTTGCCTTCGTATATATACTACAGGCAAAAATCGTGAGAGAAGCAAAGATAATTCCTAACTTGATTTTTGTTGTGGAGCAATTTGAACGCCATTTGATCCAATTAAGTCGAAAATCTAAAAAGGATCTCATGCAGTATATGAAGCGTAGTACGTCGCGCGACTTTAAAATTAAAGCTGATATAGTAGAAGAAGCTACAACGGAAGACACTCAACTGGTAAGCTGGCTTAGGACGAAAGAGAGAGAAAAATATTCTGATAGTTATTCGTAAAACAGAAAGGGTCACATGCCTATGAAACTGGTGATGAAGATACTGGAGCTCAAGCTGGTGATGGGGATCAAACTGAAGAAGAAGACCAAGAAGAAGACCAAGAAGAAGAGGAAGTAGAAGATCAAAGTGAAGAACAATCATCACATACTACCAAACGGCGTAGACTCTCGTAAGAGTGTGCACATACACACTTGCTCGGCTATTATTATTACCATATATACAAAAAATTGTATAAAATAAACTGTGGTGATTTTAATATTTTTACAAATATGATTTTTTTCTATTATATTTGATGTATTTGCCATAAATTATATATTTAATACACAAATAAAAGCTTTAGATTTAGCATTAAATTGCTATAGTATACAACTTCTTCCTTAAGCCTAATATAATACACTTTAGGCTCATATACACCCTTATATCCATCGAATATTCTGCTTCGTTCCGCCTAAGATCAATCTTCGGCTTAAGGAAGAACTGACATAATTACTTCTCTAAAGTATATATTCTGCTAAAGTAACTGCTTTACTTTTTTGTAAACAAAATCCTCAATACAACTTTAGATATATACCCCAATGAGATACCAGGTATTTAATGCTGTAGAATCGGCATTACCTTTGTCAATTACTTAACTCTCTTCATTACCGAGTCGACATTGATATTGAGTAAGCTAAAGGTATAGTTAGACTCTTTCATAGCCAAATCCTTAGAAGAACTTTGTTGAGTCCTCTTAAAAAGCAAAGGTTTCGGGACGTTAGTTATGCTCTACACAAGCATCACCAAACATATAATAACAATCGCTTATTCTCTTGGGAATCATCTTGATACTTTCAACTATTGGTATAGCCTCATTTCAATAAAACGCAACCTGAAATTCAAAATTCCACCACCTATCATGCTGTGATAATTCAGACAATATACATATATACTTTTTATTTTTATTTTTTGTCTTACTTATTGCTTAATATTGCTTTGTAATTTATGTGGGTTTTTTTCTAGTGAATTTTGGGTTCCTTTTGTATTTACTTAGTACAAGCAAAAAGAAAAGGAAAGAAAAAGGCTTTTTCTTGTACTCTTGAACAAAAAGCGCACAGACCACTTTAGAGTAACCTACAAATCGCCTTTAGAAACTTGTACTCCACTTTGAGAGTTGTTGCTACACCAATCAATACCGAACCTTTCCTTACTTCTTTGCTTCTTTGCTTTATTTTAGTTTGCAGAATATTTTCACACAGTCTATAAATTGTCTCGGTGGCTGTTAATCCTGTCGTAGAACAGTTACACAACCTCAGTAAAAGGAATATACAGTCATATCACGTTTGCTCTGACGTGAATATCTAAGCCTGACAAAAAGCGCAGTCCTAAACTTTAATCGCAGATGAAAATTTTCTGTTACTTATAGACCTCCTCCAACGCGTGTCGATTGTTTTCTCCTTGAGCAACAACAGTCCCGGTTTCATAGTGAGGCGTCTCTTGCGACCGTTGCAGGGAGATTCTTCCATGCTACAAGCATCGGAAAGTGAAAGTTGTTACTCGCCAGCTCAGTTAATTCTGAGAAGTCGTGGGGCATGGTCTCTTTTCATTTTTGGAAGGACTACTGTGTACATCGCATCGCCAATGTGGAATCATGATGCTGGGGGGAGGGAGGTCTAACCTGTGGTGAGATGTGCTGGCTCTTCACTGCTAACCTGACTGAACTCTTTAACGGCTGACGGTGAAGCTACTGGTAGTCGAATGAGCTGGACCTTATCACCTAGTGGTAAGTTCTCTGGCGAGTTCGCACCCACATTACTCGGTGACGAGATGTGGGGCTGGATGAACGGGTGCTTTCCGTTGGTTTGCCACCATTCCAGCAACTCCTTCGCTACCAAGTCAGGTTTACGTCCTGAAGGAGATTGAGCCGCGTAATGCGGGGACAAAGAACTTGGTGTCATGCTTTTTATTTTTTTACTCATGTAAAAGAACATTAAGTGAAATTAAATCAAATCAAATAGAATAGTTTCTTTATGTATATCTTTAAATAAATAAATAAAGTCTTTCTTAGCTATTGTCAACTTTAATAAAAAAACACGCGTTTAGACTTTTTTTTAACTTGATTGAAGAGGTTAATGTTGTAATTCAGAAGTCTCATTTATAAGAAGAAATTAATCTAATTGAATAAATCTGAAAAGAAAAAAAGTACTATTTGTATATTTTAACGTGTCATTGATAATAGTGCTTAACTTTAGAGGTTGCTGCTGTCTGTGAAGTAAGGATAAAGTTAAGATAATCTTTGAGAATACCGATGCCGTGAATTGTATATTATTGAATTTGGGTAATGCGGATGGAAATTGTGAATGGCATGCATTGTATCGAGAGAAAGAAAAATAGAGAAAGAGAGAAAAGGCAAAAAAAAGTGAATAGAAGTGAGAGATGAGAAGGAATAAAGAAATATGTGTTTGAAAGAGAGACAGAAAAGACGTGATGCAGATTGAATACGCAAGTAAGGACCTCATTGTATTTACACAGACTGTGCACAAAAAAAGTTCAATTTGGATGGATTTATGAAACAATTATATATATAAGCCTTTTTTTTACTTTGAATATCCTAATGCCTGATACCCTCCATTTGCTATTACATAGGCACATGCGCAATTATATTCACAGTGAAAAATATGATTTAAATTCAAATAAGAAAAGTAAAAAAGTATTGATACATTACAAAATACATCATTGAATATTTTGTATATAAAAACAATTCATCAAAGATGTACATGTAATTTATATAGTATCTTTCTTAAATATAGTCTGACAAACATAGGGTTTGTTGACTAAGCAAAGCATAGATACCATAAAAGAGGTATTCTTTCATATTGAATCTAATTAAGTAAAGTGGAGTGGGATTATCAAACATACCGGTTATTACAGTTGATTCGTTAATATAGTTTATTTTTATATCGGTTTTTTTTCTTGTTTTGTTTAAGTTCGATTACAAAATATACTGCTTTGATTTTACTTTGAAGGACCATATCGTTGTCTGTTATAAAGCACTTGGAGGCTTCTCGACACTATTGTTGCTGTTTTCTTTGCTTGGCCAGGCGATTTTATGAGATTGTTGTACTGTCCAATTTTAGTTACATTTACCTTATTTAGCGATCTATATAGCAAGCTACTTAGGGCGCTTTTCTGATCTGATCGATCTTGTAACAACAAAGTTGAGTAAAACTAGTTTTGTGATGGTTAGTCTTACAAGTGACATCAATAATGGTATTTTTAGAATGTTTCCTGGCTTCATTAGTGCTATGCTTGTGAATGGAGGATATACATGGTGTGGGAATATTAAAAGACCATATGAAACTCTGATTTTATAGTGCAAACTTCTATATCTTTAAACGCATAATCAAGCATGCGCAATTTCTGTAGAGCTCTGATTTTTACATATACGCCAGTAAAACAGATTGTGTTTACAATGATAAAAACATAAAATTTGCTTAAGATGGAATATGGTTGAAATCATTGCTTTCTAAAGCAGCTAAACAACTTTCCGTATTCAGGCAGTAAGTATGACAAATACTTATGTCAATTATATTCCACTCTTCTTGCTCATACTCATTTAGCTCGTTCAAAACTGTAGGATGATATTTGGAAAAACGTATACGATCCTTAAGATAAGCGTAAATGTTCTTTATAGGGAATAAGTTAGGGTTGTTTAGCAACCAGTCAAAAAAATTCAATAAAACACGTTCCTATATACATTTGCAATTTTTGCCTTGTATCTTCAATCATGGTCCTCTCGGAAAATATAGTTCTTATTTTCTGAAGCTGGAAGACTGTTTAAGAAGGGCAAGATATGTTTCTCAAGAGTCGTAATATACTTGGGACCATTCATTCTGCTATCTAAAAACACAAATGGCCCTCCCTCTCCTAATTAAATACATCTCCAAAAAACCGCGGTCTTCTTCTTTACATCTTTGGATCAATACTGTCCGTAGCTATCATCCCTGCAATATTGAGATTTATAATCTCGCCTTTCTCTACGTCTGAGAGTTCCTTGCAATCTGGATGAGGGTTGCTTCTTTGAATTGTAGAAATAACGAGAAGAAAAATTACGAAAATGGATAAAAGAATACATTTGCAAATTTTAAATGGCCTAAAAGTATGTTCACATTTCAGTAGTTATCTGTCTTACTTTCTTTATTTTTTTGTTGATAAAAACTTGGATCTTTATTTATTCTTTTTACTAGCTTGTTTTTATATATATGACTATTTGGTGTGCGATGAAAGCATAAGGAGGAAAAAAGGGGGTAATGGTAAGAGTAAATATAAAATAAAAAATAATAGAGGGATAAACTACTCTATTCTTTATACAGGAATGAAAATACGTATGTCTGACGGTTTGATTTTGACTTTACATTCTCTCAAGAGGTTTGAGGCCCAAGAGAGTGATAGCGTTACCGAGGGTGACGCGAGCGCACCAGTACATCAACAGGCGGGCATCTGCAACAGCAGGTTCGGCACCACGTACCCACAGTTGGTCGAATACACCAGAAATATCGTGAGCAAGTTTAAAGGCGTATGTGACTACATTGCAGGGCTCATATCCGGTCATAAGAGTGCGGACAAGATCTGGGTACTGGGCTACAGTGCGGAGAACATCAATAGCTCCTTGTTCGGTGAGAAGGCTGACATCGGCATCCTTGTTAACTTCCAAACCACTCTTGCGCTCAATAGACATGAGACGGGCGTGAGCGTACTGGATATATGGTCCAGTATCACCCTCAAAGCTGAACATACGTGCACGGTCAAACTCGTAGTTCTTGATGCGACGGGCAGAGTTGTCCTGAATCTTGACAGCTGAAATACCAATCTCGTCGGCAACAGTCTCGGGGTCTGCAACTTCCTTGTACTTCTTCTCGTTCTTCTTCATAACCTCGTGCATAATATCCTTGGCTTCATCCAGAATATCTTCCAGGAAGACCACAGTACCCTTACGAGTGGACATACCCTGTACCATACCAAAGTTGATGTGCTCCAATTTGTTGGCCCATTCGAAACCCATCAACTCGAGGGTCTTGAAGAGCTGTTTGAGATGGAGATCCTGCTGGGAAGCAACGACGTAGATCATCTTGTCGAACTTGTACTTCTCATAACGTTCTTTGGCAGCACCAATATCACGAGTAAGATAAAGTGTTGTACCATCCTTTTTTTCCACTACAGCAACACCGAGCTTGTGTGCCTTGAGATCGATGATCTTGGCACCGTCTGATTCAACAAGGAGGTTGCACTTCTTGAGAAGCTCCATAGCTTCCTGCATACCAACTCCAACCTGTGATTCACCAGAATAAACATCGAAAGAGATGTTGAGTCGGGCGTAGACGTCCTTGTATTTTACGATAGAAAGATCTCTGAAACGACGCCAGAGTGCAAGAGCCTCCTCATCTCCATCCTCCATCTTCTTGAAGTAAGCACGGGCTTCGTCGTGAATACTAGGTTCAGCCTCTGCGTCACGGTTGATCTGGACGTACACATCGTACAAGTGCTTAATTGGGTCCTTGGTGAGAGCTTCTTCATTGCCATGGCGAGAGAAACCAATGGCCAACAAACCGTACTGTTTACCCCAGTCACCGAGATAGTTCATAGCGACAGTCTTCCAGCCGTTTGCATTGTAAACGTTACGGATGAATCCACCGATGATAGTAGATCTCAAATGTCCAGCATGGAATGGTTTGGCGATGTTTGGAGAAGAGAACTCGACGATGACAGTCTTACCAGCACCTGATTTGTTGAAACCATAGTTCTCGGAGTGTGCAACCAACTGAGTGGTTCTGCGAATAAGCTCAGCAGGGTTGATCTTGAAGTTAATAAAAGGCCCCATAGCAGTAACGCTGCTGATATAGTTACAGACTGGGAAAGCCTCAGCCCAAGTCTTAGCCAAAGCAGTAGGGTTTCCCTTGACACGGAGACGGGGTAATGCCACAGCGAAATCACCGTGTTCGATCTGACGGGGGGCGTCAAGAGCGTCATAGATTAAGGCACGGTCAACCTTGCTGATTTCGGCCAGTTTGACAGCAATCAAGTTGCGGAATGCATCTAGTGGGTTTGTAGAAGGGCTAGAGCAAGTCTCGGGAAGCTCTGGTACCTGTTGGGTATTATCAGAAGTGGCAGCGGTGGTGTTGCTGCTGGTAGACTTAAGCTGTTTAAGGAGAGCAGCAGCATCTTTAGCCACTGTGGTGGCGCCAACAGCTTCGACAAAGGAGCTAGTTTTGGTAGACTTGCGCTCGATTGCAAGAAGAGAACCCCAAGTAAGGAAGTCAAGGGAGGTAGGTTCGGCGCCATACAAAAAGGTGGAAGAACGGTTCTCGACGGCATTGATAATGGAAGATTCTTCCAGGGCAACCAGGTTGTCGAATAGCAAAGCCTTTGCCTGGTTTTCAGGCAACTGTTCGTCAAAGAGGTTGGCACGACGGGCAAGGTAGCGCGTCACAGAAGCAGTACCAACAAGGGAAACTTGAGGGGAAACTTCAAGAACAGTCTCGTCATTTGCGGTCAAGTGGACGGCTTTAGCGAGTTCTGGGGATAGTGCGAGGAGTGCAAGGATTCCATAAGGAGCCTTGGTGGTGGAAATGGTGAGCTCCATTGCAACTGTTTCGAAAAAACAAAAAGAAAGAATGGGAAAAACGACTATGGACCAAAGGAATAGACGGGGTTTACTGGGTTTAATATAAAACACTTTAGAAAAATGAGTCATGAACCCAAGCCACCAAGGTTTTACATAATGAGTTGGTAATTGGGTGTCTTGGTGAAGGGGGTTTTTTTTTTTGTAAAAAAAAATGGAAAAAGGAAATTTTTTATAATTTTATTTTACAAGAGTAAAAAATATTACCCAGAGAATAATAATAGCAATAATGAAAAATGGTTCTGTCAATGGATATATGCATGTATATATAAGTAGGCAGTAAGGATGGTAGCAAGGAAAATTCACAGCTAATTTAGAGTATCGTTTTGCTTACAACAGCATTTTATAGTTAAATAACAATCCATATATATTTCTTTTGAAAAAAGTAGTCGTTGAATAACTACTACTCTCTCACTTTGAGTATAAATCCAAATATTTAAATCCGGGAACAATAAATAAGATTAACATTAGTTCCAACACTGTTTCTGGTAGGACAGTAAAAATAATCAATTTAAAACATGGTCTCTTTGTCTTATATGCATATCGTATGTATTTCTTTATTATTATTTGATATTAATATTGTTAGTAAGAGTAAAATCATTACTCTCCAAAACACCTACCAAATTATTTGAGACTTGTAATGTTTCAATGTTTAATCTGCTTTTTAGGAGATGTTGGCATATTTGAGGCCCAACTCATTGTGACTAAAAAAAAAAAGAATAGTTAAGAATGAAAATAGTGACAGGTCTATGTCGTGTCAGTTAAAGTATACAACTGAACTTGGACTCTAAATAAACAGTTTTCTGCTTATGTTTCTAACCTTCTCTTGTTTATTATTACTTCCTGCATATGAATATTCTCACGGAATATTTTTTGGTATAAGATAATTATGGCTCTGTTCCTATGTATGTGTTGGATATATATATATATGTTGGGATTAATGGTGTTGGAGTAAATATCATTTGGAAATATTTTTCTCTATACTTCAGTAAAGTTATAGTAATTCTAATCTTGTTTGAAAATTAATCCTCAACTTGATGAAAATTCGTCCTTTTTTTTTTAAAAAAAAAGAAAAAAAAAAAGAAAATTATATAGGAAAAAATAGTTGCACACAACTATAAGTAGTTCATTAGTGGAATTTCTCCTGTTGTGTAAAATTATACAAGGATGTGCCTAAGGTTTAGGGTTGCAGCAATAGCTCTATTCCAGAGTCAATGAGAAGGCCTGTTTGTTTTTGTGTTGCCCTGACCTTCCAAGAAAAAAAAAGAAAGGAAATTGGTTTGCAAACCTAAAAAAAAAGCAGTACGTCTATTCTCAAATTAAAAATAAGTGTCAAACCTTAGGTCATGGCGGCTCACAACATAAAAAAAATTGTCTTCTGTAGGGTCTTAAGTTGGGGCTTTGCTTAAATTTCTCTATACCGGAATGGCATTAATGATAACCATTATCTTGTACAACTAGCCCTAAATTATTATTATTTTTTGGTTCAAATATATTAAAGGCATGGTAATAAAAACAGGTTAGCGTTTAAAGTACATGATATATTGGCGAAAAAAAAGTAAATGGGTTCTTAATTAGGGCTCATAAAAGTAATACGATATTTCCCAAGAATTATGATGGAGAAATAATCTAGAGAATAGAAACAAATACCATTAGTTGCCATTACCTGATAAAAACCAGAACCTTTTTTTAAAAAAACTCTTTCTCTTTGACTCAAATGACACATTTGTGTTCTTGGATAAATCATATTTCTTTCCTTGTCATCATTTTTAAAGAGCCAATTATTGTATATTTGCTGCTATACAAGAATATCAATGTGCTTAGGAAAGAAAAATAAAAATAAATTCATTGGGAAAGTAATTTGTACCCAATGGTAATAAATCATGGACTTTGCCTACATGTGAGAGCAAGTGAATAATCTGTTATCTGATTAACCGGATCAAATGTATATTTATCCTTTGGTTGGAATAGCAAATAATTATACTGTATATTCCAATTTGAAAATTAAAAATAATTTTGGGTGAATATGCTCCATTCACATACGCGAAAACGTGTTTACAAACATCTCAATATATGGAACATTGGTGAGAACAGTGAATTAACTTATGACTTTGAATGTTCAACACGTATTCACAATTTGCTCTGACTTTTGGTTACGTTCCTGCCACTTTTGTTTGTACAACCTTCCTGCTGAACGTTAAAGCATATAATGTAATGTATTCCTATTCAATACTAAGTAAGCTTGTGTAAATCAAACATGTGGTTGATAAGCAACCACAATCTGCATGTGTTAAATAGGCATTAATAAAAGAAGAGAGGATATAGCTCTCAATATCTATAAGGCAGTTATTGAAGTTGAGGATGATGACTGTTCCAAGATTCCTATTTTTTTTGTCTTTCTTGTAATTCTTAAAGGTAATTCCAAGTATCAAGAGTGAGGAATTAGAGGTACTTGGTCGAGTTAACTGTTTGTGTCATCTGCACTAGCCTTTAACAGATAATTGGCTACCACAAAGAGTTGGTCTAAAGAAACAAGGCATTCACTTCCTCAATTGGAACATTCAAGTTCATAACAAATGAGCATCATGACTGAATAAATAAATGTATATATAAATACTACGTTAAAAGAGGAATGAGTGTAGCTGATTACGAGTATAGAGTTAAAGACTAAAAATGAAGAATAACTATATATATACATATATATATGTGTGTGTGTGTGTGTATGTACGCGTGTGTGTACGCTTGTGTGGATTATAACGTGAAAAGAAAACAAGAGGTTTAGGAACAAATGCTAAAAGAAAAAAAAAAGAAAGGTAAGAGTGAAAATGACATCATCTCTATAGAAGAGGCATTAACATGTGGTGATCAAGTCACATACGTTTGATGAGAATTCATTTAGTTAAATACTGCCCTTGAATGGGAGGCAAGCAAGTTTTTATCTCTTTCTCTTTTCTTTCGACTACATCTACATCTATATATCCATATCCATATATTTACAAATGAATTCAACAGAAAATCCTTATCAGGTCCTTCCAGCAGACGTCGATAAAGATGAGGAGATGGGTAAGCAAAATAGCTGGATACTATGTGGAATGTGGTCAAAGGCTAAAGCAAAATAATGCTTATTTGAATGTGTACGTTGTAGCTGCTCTTGAACAAAAAGAAACACAGCAAGCAACATCAAGAGAAGTAGATAAGCCAACAAGCACAAGCACGCCTACAAGCACCTTTTGGAATCGTCTGGGATCAATCCCAGTAGTCCAAGACACAATACACACTCTAGAAACCAAAGCAGGCGAGATCCAACTCGGTCGCCTTGTGGTTGACCAAGCACAGGCCACTATAACCAGAGTCCAGTCACTTACACAGCCCTTTGAACCTCTTTACCGGCCCTTGTTGTCGACTGGGGAGTCGCTTGGCTGTATGTCCTTGGACGCTTTGGAAAGTCGCTTTCCAATTATCCAGAAACCAACTGCTGATTTGGTACAGGAAATAAAAGAAACTCCTTCTCGTGTTTATTCTACCATCTATCTACAGGTGGATGATACGGTGAATCGCGTCCAAACTCCACTGGTGACTCAAATTCATGGCCTTGTGGACCGCTGGATGCCTGCCGAGAAAGATGAACAACAGCGTGAAGCAAAGCGTCACGTGGCCCCTGATCAGTCCTTTTCGCAACTTGCCCACAAGATCTCTGACAGATTCAACCGCTGGCTCACTTACCGTCTCGACTCTGCTCACACAACACCTGTCGATCGTCTTGTTCAAGGCACGACTTATCAGATTGTCGATCCTCACAGCTTCATAAACGAGAGAATCAACAATCTGGCGTCAACCACTATTGCTGGTGTAGATGCCACGTCTACATTTATTACCAAGCATGGACCAGGCCTTCCTGTATTTATCGATAGTCGTATCCAGCCATGGCGTCAACGTCTTCAAGAAGAGTACTCCCTTATTCGCACCGAGGCACTCAAACCAGACGTCTCTCCTCTTCAAAAGGCATCTACATTGCTCAAGACTCATGCAATTCTCCTTAGTCCAAAGCATTAAAAGGCATAAAATATATATCTTGTCCTTTTCAAACATTTTTTTTAAAAAAAACAAAAAAGTTTTCATCTATAAGGAATAAAAATAAAAATAAAAATAAAAATCAATACAGGATGTTTAATATCATGCAATGGAATGCTGAACGGAATTCTTCGTTCGCTTCGGCCCCCTTTAAATATCATCGAGTCTATATGTTTTGTTCTATCTATTATCTCAAGTGTTGCTATTATTACTGGCAAATTATAGACTCTGTTTTACATTCATCACACAAAACTGTTATCAGATAGAAAAACCTACATTTTTCATGATTTTTTGAAACAACTCAAATAGATATCATGGTCGGGTACACAAATGTTTATTCCTTAAAAGGAAAAATACGCGATTCTGACTGCTTTATTTTTTGTGCATACTGCGTTTTGTTTACCCACTTCAAAAAGGCTCTTTACACCTTTGTATAGTAAAGCTTCTAAAACACTAACTAACTTTTGCCTACCAAAGACAAAAACAAAAGAGTAATAGCTCTAGTTTATATGGTCGACATATAATATATCTATATTGACCAAATGTAAAAGTCATTGACTTGATGATTTAAGAAATTGTCTTTAAATAATAGACAACTTCATTAGCAAAATACATTGAATCTGCTCAATGTTAACAACAATCCTAAAACTGGTGAGAATGTTTATTATTCTCACTAAGAACAGCCAAGCGAATAGCAAAAGATGAATTATTAGCTAATGAAACCCCCCAAAAAAAAAGTAGGTATGTGCCGGAACCCTTTAAAGCCTTACTGAAATTATACCTGTAGTTAAATAAATAAATATATAAAAAAAAATCCTTCCAATCCAACAAACAAGTTAAACTTGGAGTTGTAAGGATAGGGAGGGCTATTCAAGGGTTATATTTCAATCTTACCAGTGATAAATAAATAAATAAATTGCTCCATAAACCCGTAAAGAATCTTGGTAATATATTATGAGCTCTATTCAGAACTTTATTATTGTACATGTAATTTGGTAAAAAGTACTTGGTGAACACCAGATTACAAAACTTCATTTTCAAAAGAAGACAATAACATTGTTTATTGTTATGGCAAAAAGGGTATCACCAATTTCCCCCTCTTGTTTTGTTTTCATATGAATCTTTGGAACATACCTTAATATTTTGCTACCATATTTATATATGTATTGTACTTGCGAGAACAATTGTCTAAATACCAGACATTACTCCAAGTGTTTAATTTTTCTTACAAGGTATGAGTTACAAAAACATTCAAATAAAATCCCAAGCTTCCTCTATTCAAAATTCGTATTAACATAATAAACTAAATGGAACTGGAGCGTTTGAGCAATCTTTGACAAGCAATAATGATTTCAAAGTACTGGTGTTCATTCTAAAAGAAGACCAATAAACCTTAACATCGGCGCCGACAAAAATAAATAATCTCGTTATTATTAAGCATGTTTTTTTTTGAAAAAGAAAACTCTTAAAAGTCATGCATGGCCTATTGGTTTTTGCTCTTATAAAATGACATGCATGTATCGTCATCATATAATAAACTCGATACATCTTCTTCAGACTTCTTTTATAGATTCTAAAGACTCAGGGCCAAGTTCTGGATGGACATGTCGTACAAGGATTGTGACCGTGAGTAAAGTAGCTCAGGAGATTATGATTAAATAACTTGACCCCTAGTGATGCTTTTGACACCTTTCACCTATTGCTTCGAATAATGGAGCTTTTAGCCCATTGAATTTATGTACTAATGAATGGTAAGATCATCTTTATCTATTTTTTTGTGAAAGGGCTGCCATATGCATATAGGCATACAATTATATATACAAATATATATATGTATCAAATAAAGATTGAAATGAAAATAAACATATAGTTTAATTTTCTTCCAAACAATGCATCAAGAAAAAATGACTCATTACTACACTTCCCAACATCGTGACTGTTAAATACTGGGGAAGAGGCTCGAGTTTAATTCATCCTCTCATCTTTCATAATTTTTTAATTTTTTTGGTTTTGGCTTTAGCTATACTTTTTATTTCACATTATTATATTTTAAAATGAGTACCTTTGGAAAGCTTTTCCGTGTTACAACATACGGTGAATCCCACTGCAAGGGAGTTGGTGCTATTGTTGATGGTGTTCCTCCAGGTATGGAGCTCACAGAGGCTGATATTCAGCCCCAGCTCTCCCGCAGACGACCTGGTCAAAGCAAACTTACCACACCTGTGAGTAACATGGGTAAAAAAGAAAAATTACCAAAAAAAAAATGGAAAATAACTATTAAACGCTAATATAACTGTTTTCCTGTTTGTTTGTTTGGTTTGGTTTGGTTTGGTTTGTAGCGTGATGAGAAAGATAAGGTTACAATTATGTCTGGTACCGAATTTGGTGTATCTCTTGGCACACCCATCGGTATTCAGGTTCCCAATCTCGATCAGCGCCCTCACGATTACAGCGAAACTGATGTTTTCCCCCGCCCTTCCCATGCCGATTACACCTACCTGAAGAAGTACGGTCTCAAGGCATCCTCAGGTGGTGGACGCGCTTCAGCACGCGAGACAATTGGCCGTGTAGCTGCCGGTGCCATTGCTGAAAAGTACCTTCGTCTCGCTCATGGTGTTGAGATTGTTGCCTTTACCTCCAGTGTTGGAAAAGTCAACATGCCTTTTATTAATGATCTCCACGAGAATGACGATGTCAAGCCAGAGTTTTATGAGTTCTTGAACACAATCAGCCGTGAGCAGGTTGATCAGGACATCACTCGTTGCCCTCACCCCAAGACAGCCGAGGACATCAAGGAACTCATCACTCGCAAAGCAGAAGAGCATGATTCGATTGGTGGTACTGTCACTTGTGTGATTCGCAACTGCCCAATTGGCCTTGGCGAACCTTGCTTTGACAAGTTGGAGGCGTTGTTGGCACATGCCATGCTGTCTATCCCTGCCACTAAAGGATTCGAGTTTGGGTCTGGATTCAGTGGAACTACCATGTCCGGATTCCAGCACAACGATGCCTTTATCACCAAGGCTGACGGCAGACTTGGAACAGCCACCAACCACTCTGGTGGTGTTCAGGGTGGTATCTCCAACGGCGAGAACATCTACTTTAGAGTTGCTTTTAAGCCTGCTGCCACCATTTCCCGCGACCAACAGACCACCTCATACGACGGTGTGTCTGGAACTCTTTCTACTCGTGGAAGACATGATCCCTCTGTGGTTCCTAGAGCTGTTCCTATTGTCGAGGCTATGGCTGCGCTTGTAATTATAGAGTAAGTTTATCTATATATATATGTATAACGATGAGTGACTAACCCTTTCTCGATTTTTATTGTATTTCACAGCGCTTGCCTCCAGCAAGATGCACGTGAAGCAAGCATGTCCCGTCTTCCTGCTATCAACATTCACCATTCTCTCCAGGGAAAAGCCCCTAAGAAATAAGCTTTTATTTCATCTTTGTTTGTAATCCAAGATCAATTTCTCATTAGACGCCATTTTATTCATTCTTTTTGCATATAAAAAAGGATAGTGCCTGTGTATGATAATTTGCAAGATCCCTTTTGATGAAATATAAGGAGGTGTTGGAAGTGGGGAGGTTAGTTAGTTTGTAACAATAGTAATAAAAAGAATAATAGTAATAATAGTAATAATAATAATAATAAAAGGCTTAGGAAAGGAAAGGTAAAGAAAACTGCAACTGTAACTGTTAAACTCAAGTAATAATAATAATAATAATAATAATAATAATAATAATAATAATGCTGATGTATGCTATGACTATGGTATCCTTTGGAGAGTATTTGTTGATTCATTGCTGGACGGACCCCCTTCTTCATGTCCTTCGACAAGGTTTGGTTTTTGAGGTTTGCCCTGGACAGAGTACATATGAATGTTTGGTATTGATCCCCTTTATATATATAAAATAAGATAAAATAAAATAAAATAAAAATAGACATTAGTCTTGGCTCGTGTGGCTATGTGTTTATTCATTATTACCTTGGGCTGTCATGAGTGCTCCTGTTCCAGCGTTGGTGGTCTTCTGTAGGTGGCTGGTAAGCTGGGGCAGCCAAATCGTGTAAGCCTGTTTGCTGGGACACAGTAGGTCCCACATACTGGTACACACCTGGATAAGCTGCATTGTAAGACTGCATATCTGTCTGGTAGTCCATTGCACCGGATGTCGACAAGAGTGCATTATTTTGCTGCTGGTTTTTTGAGAAGTGATTGTAGGGATCGTTGTAATTGTCGTAAGGTAAAGGCGAGTCGTTTTCGAGAGCACGTTTCTTCTTTTTTCTTAAACAAAAGAATGTAATCAGACCTGCTATCAAAAGTACAGCAGCTACACAGCCAACAATGGTACCAATCAGACCACCGACCCCACCAATTGAAGAAAATTTAGAACGATTGCCTTTGGCATCAAATGTCCATGTGTAGGTGTCAAGGTCGAGTATCTGTATATCGACCGCTTTGGTCGGACCATTAGATCCCGCAATGACCCATAACTGGTTACCGATAACAATAGATGTGTGATTAGATCTAGTTAGACCAGTGCCTGTGCAATTTGGAATCGACCATATCCAGGTAGTCGTGTCAAGTATTGCAACATCGTTTAGGACAAAGTAGCCACTATCGTTAAATAGCTCGCCTCCATATAGTAGAATACGGTTTCCGTCTGGAAGAAGAGTAGCTGTGTGATGCTTTCTTCCAACCGGTACTTGGCCTGTTGCAACAGCTGTATCCCAATTCTCTAAAACGATATATTGATATTTAAAAATAAAAAGTGAATATACCAGATGGTGTTGGTGTGGTCTTCTTACGTGTGCGTGCGTCGTAAAGAATAATGTCTGACATGTTGGCCATGGGGAAGTTTGTAACCGAATCAACCTTTGATTCGTCGTCTATAACTGCACCTCCAATGATAGCAATGCGGCTATTTGTATCTCTGCGCCCAAAAAAATAAAAAATAAATAGTAAGACATAATACAAAAGATGTTTCAGGTTTTATAGAAGGAATTAATTTAGTAAGCATCTTACAGGAACTGAGTAAGTGTTGCATTTGTTCTCCCAAGCCCTGTGTAAGGTAAGTTAGGGTTTACCCATGCACTTAGCCTACTGGTCATAGACACTTCTTTGTGCCAAATGTAGTTGGCAGTTTCATTTAGGCCAGTAATAGGATCCGAGTCCCCGCCTTTTTTTAAAAAGAAAAAAATAGATATATTTGTTAGATGGATATAAATAAATATAAAAATAAATATAAAAATTCATTCAATAAAATTAATTACTGTTTCTGTCAAAAAAAAAAGAAAAAAAAAAAACTTCTTTGGTTCATAAGTTTAAAGCTACATTCTCCTTCAAGATATTTTCGGAATACCCCTTTTTGGGGTCAATACACACCACAGCCTCAAAGGTTGAAAAAGCCATTGTGAAACTCACCCCAGAATAAGGTCTGTCCATTGCTCCTGATGTACTCGTATCCATAGTTACGACGTCCCAGTGGTGCATTTGGGATACTGATCTGTTTCCAGTTAGAAGTCTTGGTGTTGTACTGACATACGATCATGTTTGAGATATACTCGGTATTTGTATAGCTGCCTGTTCCGAATGCATTGATACTCTCGCCATCAAAGTCTGGCACAACGACTGGAAAATGCAGAACAGGACAATTCGAATTTTGGATATCGATCGAACGTTGTTTTCTACAGAAAGTTGAGCCTGTGTTTAACTGTACATAGCCTGTGGACTGGAGCTGCTTATAATCATCTATTCTATCTTACGCTGGAGGCGCCTTTGTATTAAAGCCATTACTTAGGTCTATCGAATAAAGCGTGTTTCCTGTCTGGGTAGCGCGTGCGAAGGAAAATATCCATATACTATTGCTACTTTCAATATAAACCGCCTTTCCTCCAATTGCAGGAGACGAAGACTGACTGACTGACATGATGGTTTTTTAATAAAAATAATAATATATTGTTTGGGTATGGTATAAAGAGGTATAAAGAAGATAAATAAGTAAAAAGAAAGAAGAAGGAAAAAGAATATAAGCCAGGAGAAGTAAGGAGAAAAAGAAGGTTTCTCTAGTGTTAAGAGTGAATATTTATCCTCTAATAGAAATATATATATATATGTGTGTGTGTGTGTGTGTGTGTGTGCATGATACAAATACCCTCGCCTATCTCTATTTTTATGGTCCTTGTATATGGCTTGGCAAGTATTGCACACACACACGCTCTCTCTCTCTCTCTCTCTCTCTCTCTCACTTATGCAACGACAATAGCTATACATAGATACTAGGCTTTGGTATTTATTTGATTCAAAGCATTTGTGGTTAGATTTCAATAAAAGAAACAAACTTTATAGATAGCCATTTCTGTATTAGCCGTTAAAGATCGAGGCTTTATAAAATATACAAAGGTCTTTTCTTTCTTTCTAAATATATAAAATTTATATTTTATATTCTTCAAATCTAAATCTAAATAATAATAATTATAGAAATATCTCTGTCTGGAACTTAACCAAGAAATATACTATATTTATACTTTGACCTAAATATATATATATATATATATAAATGTGTGTGTAAATGTAAGTTTCATTTACCAATGTACTTTCTTAACGTTGGTTCCGGTTTATGCTTCACAAACGCAAATTTAAATTTGAATATCACAAAAATGAAAAGATGTCAAGTTTTTGAGTTCATGGCTCTTTCGCACATATCTCACTTTGGTCGGGAAAGATAGTGTGAATAGTTAGTCAATAAGTAACAATCTTATTAGTTCCCACCCACCCTCTCAGTCAATATCTACGCGATCTCTTCTATCGCTTTGCAAAGGCACGGCTACAGGATGCGCCTTCTTGGATTCTCACCATCACTCACTTTAGAAAATACACAACAAAAGCCGTGACATCCTCTTTGGCTTTGCAGCAATAGAAGCTCACCAACCCTCTTGAGCACAAGGCTCCCTACAAACAAAGAAATATGACCAGCTCACAGGCGAAGAATTCATGATCATTACGCGAACAATATATGGGATCGATGCCAAGACAAAGTCAATAAGGGAAGTCAAGACGGCTCTTCTGTCACTCTTCGCTCGCATGGCTGGAAAACAAAGCCGGTGCTGTGGAAGGAATTGCTAATCTGTAAGTATTAATATAAAAGTCGTAAGGAAGCGTGTTTTTGAATTGTTACTCATTTATCACTTTTTTTTACGATAGTCTGACCAAGCTATCACTAAATTAACTGCTGAACTTGGGCAAAATCAGTGAAGTAGAGCTACAAACCACTTACTATGATGCACTCCTTTTTGAAATTATTGCTGGCCAAAACCAAAATGTAGCACTGCGATGGGCCAACAAATTATCATCTGAAGAAAAGTCTGATATCCGACCCGACGCAATTATCTCAACTGATGCAGCATGATTTTGGTTATCATGTTGGCTTTGGTGAGATCAAGCCTGTAAATAGCCCCACAAAAGAACACTCTGTTTGCATGGACATTCTTCGCCTGGGAGTCGCATCAAAAAGGTCAATCGACAAATGGCATTTGGGTGATTGTCTTGCGTTTATGATCAATGTCTTCTATATCTCTTTCGTTTTCTGTAAGCAGCACAAACACTTGTACACGATAACCGGAATTGGTGTTATGACCGTTGTCTAAGAACCTTGATATGTTGTCCAACATTGGTCACTGCTTTTGGAACCATTGCAATACTATTGACGCTACTCTCAATGTTGAGCCAACTGGTATTAATTGAAGGTTTTGTGGTTCTCATCTCCGACTTTTATGCTCTCATTGACAGGCCTTGCAACAAAGCTCGTGAAATGTCATCACGATACTGAATACCTAGTTGACTCATCCTCCTTGGTGGCATAATATTATAGTCCTCATTCCACCCCATATTCCCCACTCGACAACACGTAAATAATAAAAACAGATTTTTATGGATTTGATGACAATGCAGTGCAAATCATAGAGAGGGTAAAAGAGGACGGGAGTTAAGATAAAACAATGGTGGGTAAGAGATGATATTTATAACTAGTGGTTATAGCTGGTGAGAAAGACGTTGACTACAGTTGGTGGGAAAGGCCTCCTTACTCTTTTTTGAACCCGATCGAAAAATGCTGGTCAAAAATAAAGAGTAATATGAAGAGAAAAACCCTTGATAACGCAGATACTTTGACATCTCGCCTTCCTGCAGCTTGTGGATCAGTTACTGTTCAGGACTGTCAAGTTTGGGTTAGACATGCTGAGACCTTCTGGGATAGGTACATTAATAAAGAACTAGGCTTAAGGTAAATCTTACCACGGTATGTTATCTTTTCCCTACTTATTTTATCCAAAATAAAAATTCACTTTGTATCAAAAGTTTATTTCAAGTTTCCCAAAAGAATAATTAATTCGTACCAATTAAGACCAAAATCCTGTATATAAGTTATGTCCAAATTTATAACCAACCTTCAGAAACTCACAGTACCCAATCCTTCCTTCTCAGGATGACTCAGACCAATCATAACCTATCCACGTGAAAAGATCTTTTTGACACAAGCTCTTTAAACACTTTCCTGTCAGAAATAAGATGTAAAAAAAACTGTCCATATCCACTATATATAAAGCTCATGCAATTCATCAAATTCTTCTTCTTCTACATGTCCTTTCAAACCTCTCAGAATACTCTCTCTACAAGCCACTCGACCATTGACTATGTAAAAGGTCAATTATGGTTTGAATCCCCGATATAAAAATAAGAAAAATTCCAATCGAGGTTTATTTTAGTGCTCTCTTTTTATTTTTTATTTTTATATTTGCTTTAGCTACTTTGCGAGTTTAAATATATATATATATAAAAATAAATATGGCAACCACAACTGAAGCCCCAAAGGTAATATACATTTGTATATATATATATAAATTAGGACTACATTTATGCTTACCAGTTAGAGTATCATTCGGTTGTACTTATCAATCTCTACAGACAGCTAAGCGCGATGCTCTCCGCGCTTTGGAAGGAAAGGCACGTACCTTGTGGGACAGCAAAAAGGCATTCGAAATCAATGCTCCAACAATTGAGGAACACCAGAACTCTGAAGATCTTCACAAAGTCTACCCAAAGTACATGGCATGCATGCCATATCCTTACATGAACGGCCGTCTCCATCTTGGTCATGCCTTCACCTTCTCCAAAGTCGACTTTAGTGTTGGTTATGAGCGTATGAAGGGTAAGCGTGCTCTCCTGCCAATGGGTTTCCATTGTACCGGTATGCCTATCAAGGTAAAGAAAAAAACTTTAAATACAATAATATACAAACAAGTGATGAAATCCAAATGAATGGAATTATATAAAAAAGATTGATCTAACAATTACATGCATATATATTTAAAAAATTACAGGCCTGTGCAGACAAATTGACTCGTGAACTGGAGATGTTTGGCAAGAATTTTGAGAAATACGACGAGATGGTTCTTTCAAACACCCTCGAAGCCAAGGCAGAGATCACCAAGAATGTCAAGAGTAAGGTTGCTGCAAAGACCGGAAATGTCACCTACCAGTTCCAGATTATGTTGCAGCTCGGTATTCCCCGTGAAGAGATCCACAAGTTCTCCAACCCTTACTACTGGACCGAGTACTTCCCTCCCAACACCATCAACGATGTGACTGCATTTGGTGCAAAGGTTGACTGGCGCCGTAGTTTCATCACCACCGACGCCAACCCTTACTACGATAGCTTTGTACGCTGGCAGATGAACAAGCTCCGTCGTTTGAATAAGGTCAAGTTCGGCGAGAGATACACCATCTATTCCCCAGTTGATCAACAACCCTGTATGGATCACGATCGTCAATCCGGCGAAGCCCTCGGACCTCAGGAGTATACTGCCATGAAGATCCGTGTGGTTGAATGGTCAGACCAGGCTGCTGCTGCTCTTGCCAAATTCGATGCTCTCAAGGGCAAGACAGTTTACTTGGTCGCCGCTACATTGAGACCCGAGACCATGTACGGTCAGACCAACTGCTTCGTTGGTACTGAAATCAACTATGGTATTTACAATGTGAATGAGAAGGAGGCCTTCTTGATCACAGAGCGTGCTGCTCGTAACATGGCCTACCAAAAGATCTTTGAGAAGGAAGGCAATGTCGAGAAGTTGGCCGAAATCAATGGTAAACTCCTCGTCGGTACCAAGATCCATTCTCCCTCGAGTGTCTTTCCTACCATCTATGTTCTTCCCATGGATAACGTTTTGGCTACAAAGGTATTATATAAAGAAAATTATTCTTCAACTTTTTATTAATATGATTATTATGATTATGATACTAGGGAACTGGTGTCGTTACTTCTGTTCCTTCAGATTCCCCTGATGATTACGCTACTCTCCAGGATTTGAAGAAGAAGTGTGAATATTACAATGTCAAACCTGAATGGGTTGACTTTGAACCCATTCCCGTCATCGAGACACCTACCTACGGTAACCTCATCGCTCCTACTTTGTGCAAAATGAAGAAGATCAACTCGCAAAAGGATCGTGTACAGCTTGCTGAGGCCAAGGAGATTGCTTACAAGGAAGGTTTCTACCAGGGTACTATGTGCTATGGTGAATACAAGGGCTATAAGGTCCAGGATGCCAAGAACAAGATCAAGGATGATTTGATCAGTAAGGGTGAGGCATTTGTTTACAACGAGCCTGAAGGTCTTGTGATGTCCCGCTCTGGTGATGAGTGTGTTGTTGCTCTTATGGATCAGTGGTACTTGGACTACGGAGAGGAGGAGTGGAAGAACCAGACCAAGAAGTGTTTGGCCCAGATGGAAACCTACTCTATCGAGACCAGACATCAGTTTGAACAGACTCTTGACTGGCTGAACCAGTGGGCCTGTGCCAGAAGCTTCGGATTGGGTACCAGACTTCCCTGGGACAAGCAGTTCTTGGTCGAATCGCTTTCTGATTCAACCATCTACATGGCTTACTACACCGTTGCTCACCTTTTGCACGGTGGATCTGTCAACGGTCAGGTCACTGGTCCCGCCGGTATTCGCGCCGACCAAATGACTGACGAAGCATGGGATTACGTTTTCAAGCTCGGTCCCCTCCCCAAGACCGATGTCCCCAAGGCATCCCTTGACAAGCTTAGACGTGAATACGAATACTTCTACCCCTTGGACATCCGCGCATCCGGAAAGGATCTGATTCCCAACCACTTGACCTTCTTCCTCTACAACCACACCGCAATTTTCCCTGAAGAGATGTGGCCCAAGAGTGTCCGTTCGAACGGTCACTTGTTGCTGGATAGCAAGAAGATGTCCAAGTCTACCGGAAACTTTATGACCATGGGTGATGCTCTGGCCAAATACGGTGCTGACGCCACCCGTTTTGCTCTTGCTGATGCCGGAGATTCTGGTGAGGATGCCAACTTTGAGGACTCTACTGCCAATGCTGCCATTCTGCGTCTTCACACACTTCTCGAGTGGTGCGAGGAGCAGGTTGCTGGCTCGTCCAAGCTCCGTCAGGGAGAGTTCAACTTCTACGATCGCGTATTTGAGAACGAGATGAACCGCTATGCTGGTCTGACTGAGCGTGCATACATTGCTACATACTACCGCGAGGCCCTCAAGTACGGTGTGTTTGAGTTCCAGGCTGCCAAGGATACCTACCAGCTTGCATGCTCTGAGACTGGTATGCACAAGGATCTTGTCCAGCGTTACATCGAGTTCCAGACCTTGTTCCTTGCTCCCATCTGTCCCCATTGGTCTGAGCATGTCTGGACCGACATTCTGCACAAGCCCACTTCTGTGGTTGACGCACCTTTCCCTCAGCCCACAGCACCCGTTGATGAGACCATTCTGGCCGGTGCTGAGTATGTGCGTCGCACTATCAAGTCTGTGCGTGATGCCGAGATCAATTTGATCAAGAAGAAGAAGAAGGGAAAGGCTGCCGAAGAAGACTACAAGCCCAATGCTCCCAAGTCGCTCAAGATCTTTGTCGCCACCAAGTTCCCTGAATGGCAAGAGGACTGCATCAATGTCCTGAGAGCCAACTACGATGCTTCAGGCAAGTTTGATGACAACAAGATCCGTGCTGAGCTTGGTGCCAAGGGTATGCTCAAGAACAAGAAGACCATGCCTTTCATCCAGGAACAGAAGAAGCTTGTTGAGAAGCGTGGACCCATTGCATTTGACCGCGCTCTCATCTTTGATGAGACCGAGACCCTCAAGACCTGTTTGGATGAGATCAAGCGTGCGCTTGGTTTCCACACTGTTCATATCTTGAAGAGCGATGAAGCTGATGAGGCAAATGCCAAGGCTGCTGAGAATGCTGTTCCTGGCGGACCTTCCTTCTCGTTCAAGAACGAGTAACAACAATATTTTTCTTCTTATAATCTAATGTTGTACCGACTCTTTTTTTTTTGTTGGAAAAAAATAACAATAACAATAATAATAATACTACTTTGCATACACAAAAATGAATAAATAACATATATTGCTGTTTCTAAATTATACATCATCAATACCACTACACTATATTCTACTGTTTATTCAGGCTCCCAAAAACAAAGACTAGGAAGATGCTGTACAGTTAAAGCGCTCATTTCTGTTTTTGATGTATTCATCTTCGCCTAGTTCGCTCATCCACTTGTAGTAATTAGTCGAACGGAAAGAAGTGAACGAACACCAGAAAGCACGATCGCATTCGTCTTTGAGTATACCACCCTCGATTTTAGGGATCTTGGAATAAGGACCTCCTCCACCAGCCTTTGCTGAAGCAAGAACATCATTTCTACAACAATAATAGTATCAGTATTACTTCTTCTTTTTTGTAGTTGTAACTAAACATTACAACTTGTAGATAATGATAATCTTACGCTCGAATGTATAGTTGATAGCTTCCACTTTTGTTGATATCTGGGATAGAAGTACCCCAAACGACGCGTGTAATACCACGATAGAAAGACTGAGCAGAACACATTGGGCACTTTGATGAAGATAATAAACAGGCATTAGTAACTTTTTGTATGAAGCTAAAGTTGAACCCAAATTTAACAATTCTAACGTACAGGTTCGCCTGTAGTGTACAATGTGTGTTTGGAATAATCTAATCCAGGGTCTCTAGCATCATTTCCTGTTGGTGATGGGTAGAGCTCGGTGCAGCTAAATAACAATAAGAAAATAATAATAATAATTCAAAATTCAGGTCAGGTCAGGCCAGGTTAGGTAAAAAGAAAAGGAGAAGATGTTGTGAGGATAATTAACTTGATTGTCGCGTATGAGTTTTAAGCTTTTTGTTTTCCTTACTTTAGAAATGCAGCAGATTCACCTTGTTTGCGCGTATATTACATTTATATTAGAACATTTTGTATATTGTTGCTAAGACATGAAGCCAAAAGAATACCATGTAGCAAAGCATCCTTGCGGTCTGAATTGACTCCGTAACAAGATATGTCGTTGGTTGTATGATCCACAATCAGTGCTCCAAAGGGGAGTCTTGGGTTTTCAAGCAAAGCAAAGTTAAGGGCTTCTCTCATATAGCAGCTATCCAACTCGGATTGGTCAGTTAGTAGCTTGCATGGGTTTGCATTGGCCAGCTGCAAAAGACAAGCAACAATAAAAGCCAATAGAGTAATACTAATGGCTGTCATTGTAAGAAAAAGAGAGAACGAGAGAGGGAAAGAAAGAAGAGAGAAAGAAAGAAGAAAGTGAAAACATGTGGTCTGTTATAGAGATGTACAACACAAGTGCAACGCGAGTAGTTTCTGCACACAAAATCTATAGATCCCAAATTTAAAGCATAAAATGTATAGATCTCCCAAATAAAAATCATCTCCAGCAGTTGCTACCACAAGCTTCTATATACCCAAAAACGGAACCTGCTGAGACTTTTTTCTAAGATTTTTGGTGTTCTTCAGCGTTAAAGTTAAAATCCCAGGTTAATTCAACCAGATAACTTTTAGAAAAAAAAGTCACATAAGAATTCCCACTTTTTTATTTTATTTTTACTCAGCCTCTTTAAATCTTTTCTTTTTTTTTTTTATTACTAAAATACTTTGTCAGTATTTATATTATTATATATAAACACATTAGGCTACTTAACCATGATCGTTTAGTATACCCTTTTTTGTAATTAAAGGTCCTCATTTTAGAAACTGACATTTATATATCCATCAGAAGCTTTAAATAATATAAAAAATATACGATATATTTATCGATAACCTGGTTACATTAACCTGATGTGCTGAAGAACGCCAGTAGGATATAAAGCTTATATGTATAGAAAACTACTAAAGGGTTACTCTGCTAGCTAGGGAGAAAGGTGATGTGCTTATCTGATGGCAGGCACGACTTTGACCACGACAACGTCAGGAAAGAAAGAAAAGAGAGGGGGTGTTGTCAAAGTCAGTATCCCTTCCTCACCCCCATTTCCCCTTTCATCTGTAGTTAATTTTGTTTCTCATACACTGTACATAATCTTGCTTCAATTTCTTTATCTCATCCTTTCATGATCCCAAGGCCTTTAAGATACCCCCTAGCATCGCCGATCATTATGATGCGTGACTGAGTAAGGACTAAGTAATCTTGTCTTGCAATAAAAAGCACATCTCAATAAACACGGTTAATGGTATGAGCTGTGGTGGAGGTAGTCGTGATCTGAAGAGAGTCTTCCTCCGAGTGACAGGGAGGGCAGTCTGGATTAATGAGAAGATAAGATGTACGGTGAACAATGAATTCAATAGTGGGAAGAAAAGGAACCCTCTACCAGAGAAATATTCCATCACAGAGACCGCGATTTGTGAAGCATACACTGTCAAAACAGGTCCATTATTGTACCAACCCATATAGAACGGGATCAGAATACCAAAAAGTATGTAATATTTTGAATTTAAAACTATTTTTTATACAAAACACCACAGCCAACAGTGGCATTCCATGTCATGGATACAATCCATTGTATCTTGTAATTTCTGGGAAAAGGCGTGAAGTCTATCTTGCCAAAATCACAGTTTCGTTTGTGAGTTGTCATCAAAAGAAAAGTTTTTACAAGACAAACTTTATGTTATGCTCTTGGTCCTAAGCTGCGGGGTATTGCTTAAGTAGCCGAGCTTGTTTATATTTCACTGTATTGTCTAATGCGGGTTAAAGTTTTTAAACAAAGAAAATTACGTTTTCATCTCAATCCATGGCAGCATTTCTCTTGCTCATCGACAATTTTTCTTTGTCGATTGTAAAGTGAACAATGTAGATATAAAGACCGCACATTGATTACAGTATTTTATTAACCGCTCCTCTTTTATAAAAAAAATATCCGCTGTTTGGAGTTGGAACGACTGTATAATACAAAATCCTCGATATACTCGCATATAGACACAAGCGTGCACACACGAACACAAGCGCACACTCACGCTTATATATTATGTGTGTGTGTGTGTGTGTGTACGTGTGTTTATGTTTGTGTGTACGTATATGTGCCTGTGTCTGTGTTTGCATGTGTCTGTGTCTGTGTGTGTGTATAGACGTCCGTGTGTCTGTGTGTCTGTGACAGATAGTCGGATCAAGGAGATGCCGATTAACAAACTTGGCCAGTAAGCGAAACCCAAATCAGGGAAGCTTTTGTTTAACCAATTATATATAACATTGAGTGACTGTGATACCATTGTGGAAGAAGCAGAGACGGTTGGGGACCCTTGTTAAAACGTCACAGCTCATGAAATGAAACCAAACAAAAGGGAAGTGTAATAGATAGATATGTGTGATGAATAGAAATAGTCTGTGAGATCAGAATAAACAGCATAATCCTTTCCCCTCCTTTGGACCCAAACACAGCTTTGGTTCTTTCTAAAGCATATCTATCAAATCACAGCGGAAATTGTAATATAATCGGATTGTATAAGCAGAAGAAAGAAAAAGAATAAAATGAGTCTTGCCAAGTTACTTAGCAACGAGACCTTGATTGATTAGGTTACTTTTTGAAAGTAAAGAATAAGAGGAAGAAGTTTATAAATTTTCAAGCGTGTTTCGGCACTGGTAGAATTTATGAAAAGTAATAAATTTGGCTTGAGTCTAGAATGACTTTTTTTTACTATTTTCTATCTATCTTTTTTGTCATTGATTTATGGGAACCCATTCTCAACAAAAAGGTTTACGTCACATCCAATGTATATCTGCGCAAATAAAACAGTAGGGCTTTGTTTACCAACCCCGGGTGCCACCGGCTGGGATGACTTTCTTTTTTTTTTTCTTTTGGCCGATTTTCTTCTTATAAGCCCCGATCTTTCGATGAGCTGCTTCATCCCTTTCTTTAACCCCCCACTCTAACTTAACAAACATGTCTGCTACTGACGGAAACGCTACTGCCGGAGCCAAGCTCTTCAAGACCCGTTGTGCCCAGTGCCACACCGTTGAGGCTGTAAGTATATCGATAACACCACTTGGCTGTAATAAATGAATTATTACTATTATTATTATTATTATTATTATTATTGCCTTGCCTTGCACAAAACAACAAAACAACAAAACAACAAAACAACAATTCTGTACTTTTATTAATTTCTTTATTTTTTATTTCTTTATCTTTTCCAGGGCGGTGCCAACAAGGTCGGTCCCAACCTTCACGGTATCTTTGGCCGTAAGTCTGGTCAGGTTGAAGGTTTCTCTTACACCGATGCCAACAAGAACAAGGGTGTCGAATGGAGCGACCAGACCCTCTTTGACGTAAGTTAGGAGAAATATAATATATACAAAGGAATAAAGAAATGAAAGACAAGAGTATGTATTCTTATTGTTCTGGTTCTGTTCTATAGTATCTTGAGAACCCCAAGAAGTACATTCCTGGTACCAAGATGGCCTTCGCTGGTTTCAAGAAGCCCAAGGATCGTGCTGATGTCGTTGCTTACTTGAGAGTAAGTCTTGTCTTATAGTGCATAGTCAAAGGGGGTGGATAGATATAAAGCTTGTTTGTGTATATGTATATATATATGACCGATTTACTTACTCATAAATCTCTTCTTGTATAACTTTTATAGGAGTCCACTGCTTAAGCGTTTCTCTGCTTGCTCTTCTCTTATCTCTCGCTCTCTCTCTCTCTTTTTGTACTTTGTACTTTCTGCATGTCCAATTAGTCTTAATCTCTTTCTTATACAGTCCACTATAGAAAATAGTTCCTTATATTAAAATAACCATTTTTGGTAGACCCTTGTCTGTTTATTGGGAAATGTTTGTATTGTATTGTATTGGGTGTAAACAAGTTAATTCTGGATACTCTTTAATTTTTTATTTTTTTTGGTCTTGTAAAAATAAGCAGTCCAAATGTTAAAGTTTAGCTAAAAGATGATGTATATTTTCTTTAATTATTCGCTCATTAGCAAAACAAAACAAGAAAAAACCTTCTTTGCACGAACGGGGGTTTTCTCTCTCTCTCTATTATAGTCATAATGGTTCGACCAAAGAAATAACCTTAATTCATTTCATTTTAGCGTAAAGCCAATTATATGCCTTGTAATAGAAACGTTGGTGTTTTATAGATTCTTGAAAACGTATAAAAGACTTTTGTATGTCCCCAACACAATATATAAACGAAATAAAAAAGACCATACATCATTAAGAAAGTAATTCAATGAGCTATTATGGCCAAATGTGGATTTACAACTGTGTGATGTGATTAAAATAATGACGTTGGTTTCTGTTTTTTTTTATTTAATGGAAGGAAGGTCTTGGAAGATCCAAGAAAGAAGTAGTAGCCGTACAAGCAAACCACGCATTATCTTGCATGTAAAGAGAATACCCAAGAAAGTGTATATATATATAAAAGTAAGTTTATGTACATATGCAGGTACAGATTTAGTGTTATCTTGTAAGAGTATTAAAAGCTTTTAATACCTATAAACAAACCATTATATGATTATTGACTTGGGACAGTAAAACTCTCCGATTCATATTCGCATAAGAGCGAGGGAACTTGACACAGATATGTTACCTTTGCATTATTCAAATCCATCAAGGAACTCTAATAAGAAAACCAAACTCAATGTCATGTATTAAAAGAAATATAAATAAGCTGTAGAAACATATCAAACTACATCAAATATTATGCAAAGTATAAACACACACACACACACGCGCACACACGCACGCACGCACACGCACTTTTCTAGAATATCAAAGAGCTATTAAAAAAATTGAAAGATAAAATGTGTGAATCAATACAATCAGTACAAGAAGTATAGTCCCATAGTACCCTCGCAGTAATGGCATTAACTATTTGCGAATTATGAAATAGACTCTTGATATTTTATGTATAAAATCATATTTACTCTAAAATGCATTATAACTTTTTGCATAAAAACATCACACATCTTATAATCATTTGCTATTCCAGAAAAATAAAGTACACGGAATTCTGTCAACCAGAGCAAATCGTACTCTGAAAGTACCATCATTAGGTGTATTCACCGCCGGGCACTTTTGATAAACATTATACGCAAACCCAGACAGAAGGATATCTTTCAAAGAGGTCGATATAAATGATTATCCGCATCAAATACGATATGAAGCTCCTACCTGAAACAAAGTATCAATACGTCTAATACATCATCCTTTGGGGCATCTTCAAGAAGTACGTGAACTATTTTCACCGGAGCCGTTACAATAATTAATGTCCAGAGTCACTTGATAGATATCTCAATAATTATAAATGACATAGATAACATAACTTTCTAACAAGATAATTTTCAACTTGGCTTCATATCTCTCCAAACATAATAGTCTCAAAGTTACTTGACATCCAAACCTTTTCAACATATAAATATCACGGCTACTCACTACAGAAAATGATAACACTAATAATAAGAATAAAGTCTCTAGGATACTTGGATCATAAATTCAAAATTTGTAACCGTGACTAGAACTTCATTAATTCTTTCGAGTTATTTCGCTTTAAACAAATGAAATATAAAGAAAGGACAATAGATGTATGTACTATGATATGAATGAAGATTGCAATGAAACTAAGATCATCGACCTTGATATAGACTGTTGACAGTATGTAGAATGCTGACCTTTGTTACACAAAGTACATGCTGCTGATGCCCATTACTGTGTTCCATCAAACCCACGATCACATAAGCTGTCAGTATCATGCTACTACAATAAACCAAAAAAAAACGGATTATTAATAAAGAAGGATATTGAATAAAAGTCGGTTCTTTTCCTCTTATTATTATTATTATTTCTTTTTGCAAACATTTGTTTGTTAAAAAGAGATATTTTGGGTATGATATAATGAGACCCATCATCCCTCAAAGATCTGTAAGTACTTCAGTAATATTTTCTCTAAAAATGTATATCCAGGATATGCCAAAAAAAACCATTGTCAATTTAAACGCGATAAAAAAGAGAGAAAAACCATTGAAATCTTGTAAAGACACTATACTCTGTAAAAATATCAGCTAGTTTTAAAAAGACATGGCAACATATTAATATCGTAACGTAGCAACATACTAACATCGTAAAAGCATAAAATCACGCCACAGAAGTTTTGTGGTGTGAAATGGTAGTTATTTTATTTTATTTATTTTTTTTAAAAAAAAAGAAAAGGGTTAATAGGAAATAGAGACTTTTAAAAAAACCTAATCCAAAAATAAAAATAAGAACAAGAATTAAGATTTCTAGTCCTTTCTGTCGTACATTTGATTTGATTTGATTTGATTTGATGTATAAAAATATAAATATCTTTGCTGACAAAATGAGTATCGATGGCCTATTTTTGTTATGGATAAACGTATTAAAAAAAATGATATATAATATTATTTTTTTCAAAAGAATAAAATAGACAGGTTTATTTATAGCATCTTCAAAAAAATAAAATAAGAAAAAGCTATAAATGTGTATATATTCAAGAGTCACAAAATATTGACAGGATATAAAAACTGTAAAGATGTGTGGCGTATAAGCTGACAGAAGGTTTTGACTGATTGACGGACTTGCTTATAAAGATTATGTTTATTTATTTATTTTCGGCCCAGGGAGAAACTATAATACAAGATCAAGTCCGAATGACAGAAAATAGATATATAATATCAGTATTGACTGGGTGTAAGGATATTAGCCTGAATGGCTAATAAAGAAAATGAGAAAAAGACTCAAATGTGAAGGTGAGAAAAAGAAGAAGGGCTTTGATATTGTTTCTCAGTTCTTGATGTTAGACATTGGTGATATTCGTACCTCCTGAGTAAACACATGTATAAAAATGTACCTCGCCCTGTTTACGGCAGACCAAACATCCCAATTGAGAAAAGGGCACGCGGCATCAGATGGGGTGTAGTGGCGCCCTTTGATTTGCTGGTCCCAGTCATCAGTAGAATATGCTTTTAATATTTGGTGTATGCCATTGCTACCACCAATTGCTACAAAACCTTTAATATATATATTTATATATATTGATAGTATCAGTATGAATATCAGTATTTTAAACATTTTTGTTTGCTAGCAACAAGGACCAAATTCAATTCAATTCGATTTTTTTTTTTTGCTTTTGATAAAGATACATAAAGAGAGACAGAGAGATGCGCACATACGCATACTTTCTGGATTCCAGACAGAAAGCTCAGCTGCACTATGTCGCACAAAATAACGGTATTCTCGTAAAAAGGGGAAAATGGTTACGCTCAGCATGGTTTACCGATGACCTGGTTTTCTTTTTAGCCGAATAGATTTCTATTCCAGACATAAAAATAAAATAAAATTAGAAAGGCTATATAAAACGGTCTGCAGCTTGTATTTCTTGATTTCTCTTTTGTATTCACACATCTCAATTCCATCATGACTACCGCTGGCTCCACAAGAATTGCAGTTTCTTCTGTCCCAGAAAACCACACAATCATCACTCCCCAGGAAGAAGAGAAGAAGAAGAAGAAAGTCATTCGCCAGGTAAATAATATATATGTATATAATAGTAGAACTTATTTTAACCAACCAAATAATTATAGGCAATTGGTGTGATTGTAATCGACACAAACACCAACAAGATTTTGATGCTGTCTAACCCCAAGAAAGAAGACGGTGCTCTGAGATTGCCGCGTGGAGACTGCTTGACTGACCCTGCACCAGAACACCCCGAAAAAGCAGCCATGCGAATCTTGCTTGAAAAGGCCGGCGTGAGCGTGAATTACATGACCCGTCGCATCGGAACATACACCGAGGCCAACAAAAAGGGCAAGATCACAGCCCACCACTGGATGTTTGAAGTACACAACCCCACATTGTTGGATACATGGCCCGAGTCTGATCGTGAGCGTGTCTGGGTAAGTTGATTGATTCTACATACAGCTAGAACTATGTGTGTGTGTGTGTGTGTGCGTGTGAATGGGTACTTATGGGTACTTATGGGTGCTTGTGTGCTTGTGTGTGCATATTGTGTAATAATGCTCTGATTTATCTGTTTAGGTGAATATTACCGAAGCTCTTGCCGCTACAGAGGACCGTCGTATGTCTCATCTTGCACTCAATAACAGTTCACTTGTGCTCAAGTAAAACACCAGCAACAATAACAACAATAACAATAATAATATATACAAAGTCACAACAAATCATCTGCATTATCTACAAACTCGAAAGGACCACACGGCTCTCCCAACATCACAACACAGCACAACCCCGGTCAACCAATCTCAACATTCCAACCCTCTCTCTCTCTCTCTCTATAATATATAAATAAATGAATCAATATATTTCAAAAAAATGAATCAAACCATTTATATTGTATGTCAGTGTGTGAGTAAATATAATATATAAATTTACATCTATAATAAAGAAGCAATTTCTTTAAAGTGTACTTGTGCAACACAATCCCATCCTATCATTCTCTCTAGATAATCATAATCATTTTTTTTTAAAAAAAAAAAAGAAGAAGTAAAGCTGGGAAATATTTGGAAGCTTTTCTTGCTTTAAGATGAAGGTCTGGGTGCCAATGATGACCTTGACAAAGCTTCCTGCATTAACGGTTTTGCTGATAATGCAATCATGGCTTCAGGATAAGTGAACTATTGGTAATATACATAATAATTAAATGGGAGTTTTGTATGTGTGTGTATATATTATTCTCAAAATGAAGACGTTATCATTCTTTACCCAACGTCGTTCTCGTTTGTAATGTTCTGGCCATTGATCGAGAATTTCATTTACTTTAAGCTCATAAATCCAGAACTGGGTCTTTGGATCACCATTGAAGAGATAATCAAAGAATGTGCCAACAAAGCCAGTAACTGTCCCATGTACTCCAGCTATATTTATATTTATATATATTTATTTATATAACACACACAAATACTCAATGTAAGAAATTTTGATCCGTTTAACCATTATTCGCGTAATTGTGCTTATATATATATAGATATATATATACGTGTACGTGTATGAAAGAAAGAAAGAAAGAAATTGTGTATGTGGGTCTTGCCTTCTTCGTAGGTTTCACGCATGGCTGCCTCGATCTGTGTCTCATCATTCTCCCATCCACCTTTTGGCTGTACTCATGTAAGCTTTCAAAGAAAGAGTGAAAGAAGAAGAAAAGGGTGGGCTTTTAAAATATTTCTACACTCACAATGACCCACACGCCTTTATGTTTACTACTTGAAATTAACATGATGCGACCTGTGGAAGGATCGATGGGAATGCAGCCAGCTACCTAACACACGATAAGTTTGTTTGTCGGTTATACTATACTACATTTCACTTTCTTTTTCTTTAAAAATAAAGAAAAATTGAAGAAGAAGAGGTACAAGTCAAATATGCTTAGCAAACCTGTCGAATGTTGTTTTCATTGTAAAGCTGTTTTTCTCTACCAGTGCGCGCTTCAGGGTAATTAGGTATTTGACTCATCTTAAAAGAAAAAAAAAAAAGAAAACCTGCTTTTCTTTTTTCATTACCTATTTACAGAATTTTACAGTTTTTACAGCTTTTATTTTATTTTTAGACCAATAAAATTTAATCATAATTTAAACCCAATACAAAACCTAAACTCCGTTATGGTTATAAGTTACTAGGGTATTTCATTAAACAGCATAAATAAAGTCAAGCAAAGCGAGAGATACTTGTTGGATATTAAATTACCGATTATGTCAAAATAGAAGCACCTTTTAAAGATGGAAGATGGAAATGTTTAATGTATTATTATTATTATTATTTTGATTATGAAAATACAGTAGTCAGAATGTTAATTTAGAAATATTATATATATATATCTTGGAAATTTACAAATAAAAAGAAAAAATAAAATGTCGATTTTAATGAATGAGAAAAGAAAAAAAAAAAGGTTATTAAACCAGTAATGAGAACAGTTTTTCTCCTTTACAGTAAGTTGATCCATAAGTCTCACATTCTACATCACACCCCAAAGATCCTCAAGAGCACAGCAGACCTTTCCACACGCAACCGAAGCTGACAGTGAGTACTCGGAGATACCTAGATATATCATTACAAACGTAATTTTTTTCATATTTATTAGACGATTGAAGCCTAACAAAAGAAATCAACTTACCGATCTTTTCATCAACATAGCTATCAGCAAATGTGTCAAGTCCTTTGGCCATGGCTCCAACAGCCACAACGATTGATTGATCATCGGGAAGTTGCTTGAAATATTTATACAGTCTGACCTTGGGCGCATTCCATGACAAAGCTTAAATGCCTGTAATGTCAGTAACTTTTATATATCTCACGGTCCCAATTGTTTTTTTTTTCTCGTTTTTTGGATCAAGCAACAACAGTTACTATAACAAACTTACAAATCTTCTTTGTATTCTCTGGTAAGTATTGTTCCAGTGGAGGGGGGAGAATTTCCAGTAGTTTTTTCTCTCCTTTGACGTTACTAGGAATCGATTGTTTTTCGAGCAATTGAACTAGATGCATATGTAAGTAAATAAATATACAGGTATATATATATATATATTTACCCATTAGGCCAGAGAAACGCTTGATTGTTCTGGGTATACGGCACTCGGGATTGATACGAATAACAACTCCTTTTGCAGTGTGAATATAAACCTACCAAGAATTTATATTATCTATCCATATATCCATGTATTTAAACCCTCGCTTTTGTTTCTTCTTTACTTCAAGGTGACCGGACTTATTCAAAGGGCTGTCAAGTAGTGTTAATAAGCACTATATATAAAGAAAGTTATGCCACCCCAAAGAAGAAGAAAACTTGATTAATTATACGTTTATGTGCATGTACATATATATATATATATATATATATATCTTTGTTTAAGTACCTGATGAACAATATCAGGGCGTGCTTCTGCAATGTCTCTTCCAAACTTCTTTAGAATTGACTGGTGCTCGTCACAGTTGAGAAGCTGCATCTTTCTATTAAAATTGGAAGGGTAGATTTGTGCTGCTTCTAGAGAAGCATTCTCCAAGACGATAATCAGCTTGCGTGGTTGAGGGACGAAATCACCTCCGTGAATGTCATCTTGCATGGTGGGATCAGTATTGTCCATTTCGATAATAAAAATTGAAAAATTGAAAGAAAAGATATAGAAATAAATATAAAAATACAACTGCTATAGAATGAATATAATAGATATAGATATAGGTAAATAGATAGGTATATATCTATATCTATATCTTTAATACAAATGTATATATACACCACGTATACCTGTGGCTTAACTTGTAGATATGATTGAAAGCTGCAAGTTAAGGTGTTCACAGGATTAGATGACTGCTTTTCCCATTAACATCTGTGCATTTGCTTATTCGTGCCTTCAGATTTTTTTAAAGAAAAAAAAAAGAGATGAAAAGATGTAGATTTGATGGTTGTAAATATAATTATAATAATTTAATGAAAAATTAATAATGAAAAATCCAATCTATGTCTAACTTGTCTTTCTTTTGTGTGAGTGAGAGATCTTCACTGTCGAATCTCTATTTTATATATAATGTGTGTAAATGTATACATGGTTGTTTAACGATGTGTTCGTGTCGTTATGTTTTGAATAAGAGTAAGAATAAGAGTAATGAAATACAACGTTATGTTACGCCATGTTATGTTGTGTTTTAAGCTTTAGTTTTGTTTGCTTGAGTGGATCTGGAAGTGTGTGGGTTTCCTAGTGATGGGTAGGCTTGGATCCTAAATAGATTCACTCTTTGTTAGAATTATCATTTTAATTAAATAACAGCATTAATACACACCATCCACACGCAGGTTTCTAGTCGCAGAAGGAATACGGACTTTAAGTCCATCGAGAGATTTATCCATAAAGATCTGACAGCCCAATCGAGATCTACAAACAGCTTTATAATCAGCCTTCTTTCTCTTCTTCTAGTTTCAATTGAGCTTGTCATAAGGCACTATAATATCTTACGTTTCGGTCAATCCAAAGGCCAAGTCCAACATATCGTTCTCTTCATCTGTGGGTTCCTCCATCTTATTATAATATTCAGGATCACAAATTACATGGCAAGTCGAGCATGCCAAAGAACCCTCGCATGCACCTAAGACAACAAGCAAGGTATTTATCCACTGTTCCAATCCAATATCCTAATTTGAGTCTTACATTCAAGATCGATATCGTAACGCTGGGCAAGGTCAAGAAGACTATCACCTTCGGCTGCTTTGACATCTATCTCTTCTCCTTCGGGAGTTTGAAAGTGAACGGTATAAGGACTATAGAGATTTATAGGACAATGTTTGTTTCAGTTCTCGATATCCTCGACAGGCTCTCTATTCATTCAACCTTTACCCCTCTCCCTTTGCAACGTGGTTTCCATGGAACAGTGCTGTAAAACAAAACGTAAATAACCTATTATCGTGTTGCTGTTGCTGTTGTTGTTGTTGTTGTTTCATACCAGGAGCAGAAGACAAACTTCTGTGTGCAAGTGCAGTGTAAGAAGACTGTCTGATAATCGAGGCGTTGCGAGTGAACAGACGGAGGAGTGACATTATAGTGAATGAATGGAGTGTTAGGTCGGAATCAACCTTGTACTTTAATCATTTTTTTTATATCAAGTGTCGGGTTGAAATTTTTAGGAATTGGTGTGCGGGGATGTTCGGACTTGGTGCCTTTTTTATAGTTTGCGTCATCACAGTTTTCTCCATTCATATCCTCTTTCACATCTTCTTTTCTCTCTCTCTCTCTCTCTCTCTTTATCTCTTGTGTATGTGTGTGTGTATAATTACCAAAAATAATTATAGTAATATAAACTGTCAAGTATAATTCTACGATCAATGAAATACACCCGACACTTTTGTACCCACAAATAAGCACCTGCTATATATATATATAATTTTGTATATGCGTATATGAAACTTGTTTTGGAAATATTCTTGTTTCTTTGTCTTTTGTAGCGTTTGAAAGCTTAAAATAAATGACTTCTTTAATATGCAATTTGATGAATATATACATTTTCATAAATCCGTTGCTTTCAGAAACCACTGAGCCTTTTATTCGGCCTATTTATACGGGACCTTTTTATTCTTATTCTTATTAATATTATCCTTTGATTTAAAATAAATAATTACTCATCAATATGTATATATAAAGTGTGTTCGTATCTATGGTAACCCAGAATGTTCATGGCTGCATTTTCCACAATGACTGGACCTGACTGTAAATAAATTCTCCTATTTTCTGTATACACCTCTTGTTATCTCTATGTATGTGTGTGTATATACCTATCCCTAGCCAACCAGAGTAACCGATTTGAGCATCTTACTTGAGCCAAATACACTAAAAGCAAAATACCAAAAAAAAGGCTCCTTACTGTTCAATGGATAATGTGTCATTTGTGTCAAATTAAATATCCGACACCGCATTAAATAAATTCGACGGTTAGTTTTTCTTTTCTTCTTTTATATTTTATTACTTTCTCTTTCAGTATTAAACCTATTTCTTAAGATGAAGTTTGGCAAGACGATGTTAAACAGCCAAATACCAGAATGGTCAAAGAATTACATGTCCTACAAGGCACTCAAGAAATCTATCAATCTAGCTGCAGCCTCACTACCTCCATCCGAAAAGGCCACCACAGGTACATACTATTACATTGCTTTGATAGCATAAACCTACTCAACCTAAATATATGTATACATAAATATCGCAGCAATTGTATTCCAACTGGATAGAGAGCTTGAGAAAGTCAATACTTTCTACTGCTACAAGCAGGGCCAGATTGACCGTAGACTATGGATCCTTTCAGAACGATATATTCAGGTCTCTACTCCCTCGGTCTCTCAAACAGAGTCTGCAAAAGATTACAACGAAGAACTGGCCAGTGCTCTTCAAGAAACACGTGTACAGATGCATAGGCTAATGTGGTTTGGGGAACTCAATGCAAAGGGCTTTAGAAAGATTCTCAAAAAGTATATAAAAGTTTATCCATCAAATTTACATCATACTCTATTCTATTCTATTCTACTTTACTCTGCTCTGCTCTGCTCTGCTCTACTCATTCTTACGACTCTATTTTATATCTATATTTCCCAATCTGTACTAGGTTGGACAAGCGACTGGGTCTTGAGACGCAGACGATCTACTGGCAGACAAAGGTACACGTCAGCAAGCTTTATATATACTAAAGATATGATAATCAATGACCACAAAAAAAAATGAAATTCATTCACAACATCAACCCGAAAGGTGGCAGCCCTGCCTTTTGCAGACCCAACCCCTTTACGCACAGAAATTGCAAAGATCACCAGTTGGATTGCCACTCTGTCTTCGCCCTCAGCCCTGAAACGCCGATTATCTCTACCATCCCAAATAAAATGCCACAGCCCTCTGACAGACCAAGAAAACGAGCGCTTGACGATGGCAATTGAGAATGACAACCAAGCGGAGTTGTCGGTTCTTCTCCAGTCTGATGTCCTGAAAACAGAACAGTCGCACCGAGACACAGATCAAGTAAAAAAAAAAAATTAAATTATACAATTTTTTTCTTTAATTAATCCCTCTCCTCCTCCTCTTTATACACTCGAAACTATAGACACTCTACGGACTATTAGAAATTGCCATCGAGCATGGTTCATTGGCATGTGTCGAGTACTTGGTCAAATCAGGAGCAAATCCATTGGTACACAAGGACATCAACGAACGGAACATACTTCACAAGCTTGCGATTCGCTCCAATGAACCCGACATCAAGCCTCAGATGCTTGTCGTTGTTCGCAAGCTCCTCGATTGGTTCCCTGACCTGGAGTCCCAGACAGACTTTGCCGGCCGTCGGCCCCTCCATTATGCTGCCGAGGCCGGCCATCCAGAAATGACACGGGTGTTGATGGAACATGCGATCTCGGACAACCAATACACAAAAGTAGGCTTCAAGAGCTCGGCCTGGCAGGATCGTGATGGACATACACCTCTGTTCTTGGCGATCTTACACGGCAATCCAAACACGCTCAAGGTACTGATCGATGTTGGCAATATCAAGGATATAGATGCCACGATTGCAGGTATTATTAATTTTTATTTATATAACAAAAAAAAAGATTATCGTATTTTTTTTATAACTAACAAAACAAAATACTTATATAGACTCATCTTTGTCGCGAAGAGAAAGTGTCCAAGTTTCGGACAGAGAAGCCATTCCAGACTTTGTCAGATCATCTCACCATCCTTCCTCCGTTGCCACTGCTTGCAAACTATGCAATCTCAAACTGCTTGAATTGCTAATCCAAAGAGGTGCCTCTGTAGATATGGCAGACGAGGATGGCGAGACTCCACTCCTTATTGCCATCCGGAACCAGTTTACAGAAGGCGTAAAGGCATTAATCGAACAAGGTCATGCGCGCGTAAACCATGCAGATAAAATTAATGGCTGGACCCCATTGATTGTCGCAGGTAATTTTCATATATATTCTTTTTTTTTTTAAAAAAAAAATTAACTTCTAAAATTAAAATTTTATAAACCCTTTTTATACACATATCAAAAGCCATTGAAGGTCACGTCGATATCACCGAAAATCTATTAGACGCAGGTGCTGACAAAGCTGCAAAAGACTTGAATGGCTGGCACGCTTATGAGCATGCCATGTTCCGTGGACACATGAATATCGGAAAGCGTACAAAGCCAGACGAAGTTCCTACAATAGCTCCTAATGTGCGAGAGACAGTGGAAGGAAATGGTGGAAGTCCGGGTACAGGTACAGGCACAGGAGCAGGAGCCGGGAATAAGTCTCGGACAAACGCTCTAGGATCCAAGGCATTTGCAAGAGCAGGTCGATTGTACGGCCACAAATACTTGACTGATCAGTCTATGGTGATCATCACGCTCGGGAGCAACGACTCTCGCAACCCTCTCTCGCGTTGCTTTTTAAATCCGGACGGTAGTCTGTGGCAGGACAAACGTCTTTCAATTGCCGTGTCTGCCACTAATGCAACAGGAGAATTTCCAATCCTGGACTTACCGACCAGCAACCAGCACCATTTACTTCATCCAGACCCAATTGTCTTGTTTACTTCCAAGCCAGAAGATGTCGTGCTTCGGTTCGATGTGATCGAGACGTTTGGATCAAATCCTTCAAGCACAATACTTGCGCGCGGTACGTCTGTGCTTACCGGTGACTCGCTATATTCAAAGACCAAGGCATTTAAAGGCTCTGCTGGTGGAAATACCTCACTTCGTGGGCAGCAGACAGTACCGTTGGTTCATTCCCAATCGCTTGAATATGCTGGCTCGCTTGGATTTGAATACTTTGTTGTTACACCATTCTCGCATCCAAAGATGACAGTTGGTGACCGGTACACTTATTATAAGTCTGTAGATACAAAGGTAAACACACACACACACACACATCTATATATAGTGGCTGTATATAATGCTTAAATAAACTATAAAGGTTATAGGTCATCGAGGCTCTGGTATGAATAGAAAGGGATCGCGCCTTCAGGTTGGAGAAAATACGGTATTATCATTTGTTACTGCGGCATCTCTGGGTGCCGAATACGTTGAATTTGGTAAGCCCAAATAAGAAAAATCGATCCACACATATTAACTCATCCTTTTTTTTTAAAAAAAAATGCCAAAGATGTTCAATTAACAAAGGATCTGGTGCCTGTAATTTACCACGACTGGACTGTAACCGAAACTGGCTACGATATTCCTTTGAACGCTATCACTCTAGAGCAATTCCTAAACCTTAAACCGTCTGGACAGATTAAGGATTACCACACGGGTGTGACGGAAGATATCCAAGGAAATGACACTCCTTCAACCAAGTCTCCTGACCCTTCTGAGGGAAACAATGCTTTGGATATTATCTACGCGAACGATTCTCCAAATATGACGGGTTCGGTATCTTCGCCCGGTAAACGTGCAAATCGCTCTCATTCCTTAAGCTCGATCGGAGGATCATCTTCCTCTCTTCTCAGACGTGGCGATAATACCCAACGGCTTCAGCTGACACAAACCAACAAGCTCGGAAAAGTAAAAGGAAACGGACCAGATACTATTCAGGCACCTTTTACTACACTGGCTGAAACATTGAAGAAGGTACCCAAGAGTGCTGGGTGCAACATTGAAGTAAAGTATCCCTTGGTTGATGAAGCCGAGGCCGACGAACTGCATCAGATCCAAGAGCTCAATATCTATGTCGACACCATCCTGGACTGCGTTTACGGAACAGCCGAAAAAGACCGCAACATCATCTTTTCCTCATTCCATCCCGAGATCTGCCTCGCCCTTAACCTCAAACAACCAAACTACCCAGTCTTTTTCTTGACAGATGCCGGCACCTTTCCTATGGCTGATGTACGATGCCAATCGTTGCAGGGAGCAGTTCGGTTTGCCAAACAAGGAGATCTTCTGGGCATCGTTGCTGCCAGCGAACCTATCCTCGAAGCACCCCTGATGGTCAATGTTGTCAAGGAGACTGGTCTGTTGTTGTTTACATACGGAGTTCTTAACAATGAAGTTCAGAATGCAGTTGCTCAAAAATATTATGGAGTAGATGCAGTAATTGTGGTAAGCATAAGAAAAAGACATTTCAATCAATTTTTTGCTCATCACAAGAGTTTCATTTTGGTATTCTAGGATTCTGTACTAGCTGTACGTAAGGGGCTTAGAGAAGGACAAATCGGTGGTGATGGATCACCTTGATAATATAGATATATAGTTATGCGTTTATACAGAGCATATACACACACCCTATATGCATATATATATATATATCAATTGCTTTAAATTATAGATGATAGCTAGATCAGGTCTTGTGTTTAAAATAGAATATTTCTTTTATAAATCAATGATATAAAAAACAAAGGCCATACACTTATATGCACTTTAATATATATATATATCTTATGGTTCACAGTTAAACAATGATAGCCTTATAGTTTTCTTTCTTTTTTATTGGTCATGGTGACGGGGACTGATACGAGTGGTAAAAATACTGGAAATTGTGGGGAAGTATATAGAAAAGATTGGATGTAGATATAGTGACAAAATAGGAGGGTGCTATTTACCAGTTCTCGATGTTTTGTCATTTCAATGTAACTGTGTTTTAACCAGCATTTAATAATGGTCAGTATAAAAGAAAGATATTGATGAGAGTCTTTAACACTTTTGGATAAAATGGCCTTGGGTACAACACTATCGAGTAAGATGACCTTAATTATATTATTCTTGCTCAAAAGTCCCCATAAGTATCTTATATTATACTTTTGAAATTCGGTCTCAAGATAGCCCCAACTTGTGCACATTAAATTTTTTTTATTAAAATATTAATTGTACATTTACTACAAAAAAATCGTAAAGTTCGGCCAAGTCTACAACATCTAAGCGCCTAAACTTTTTTTTTCTTCATCGGTGCTCAGTTTTTAAGATTTTTTTTTTCAAATTCATCACAGTAAATTGTATGTGTAAATTAAATCAGCACTACATCGAAAATCAATCATCTAAAGCTGCTGAAACCCCTCCTAATGTATACGGGCAAGAATCTACAGTGGCTACAAAAAGAAAAGAAAATCTAGCTTTACTGTGCATGTAAAAACATATAAGAATTACAATGTTTTATTTCATTGATCGATTGATTGAGTCCAAAAGCAGTGTTAAAAGCCGATTCTCATCCCAGGGATTACAAGAAGTATTAATTGGAATTTATGGATCAAAGATATCATTTATATCCATATAATTGATTTATTATCGCTTTTTCTCTAATCCGTCTTCTCTCTCATACTTTAAATAATTTATTTTCAATTTATTTTTAATTTGATTGTAAAACAATACCTATGGTAATAAAAATAAAAGTAGTATTAACAGTTAAAATGTTACCTTTTTTATTATATCCTATGAACAAAACGGTTAATCAGATACGTGATCTTGACCTTCACCGTGTATCCATCGCCAGCCAACAGCCGATAAAAAAAAGCTTTTAATCAAGGGCGGAAAGATGATGGCAGTACAAGGATATAAAGTATTCGTCAACGAAACACTCGCCACCGTGAATAGCAGAATTTGTACTGATATTACTAACAGATCTGACCCCATCAGAAATATTAATGTATTTTCGTTACATATACGACCAATCTTTTGCTTTTTATGAGTACCAAAGTCGCCATCGTTAACCCTGTTGTCCGCGTTCAAAGACTGGGAATAACCAGCGAAAATCTAACATTTTTTTTCTATGCGTGTACAAAATTGTGTGGTGTTTCCTCAATTTATGATTTCGTAAATTCTATCCGGAATACATGCATACACCCGCAACCTCAAGTTGGAACCAAAGCACTGATCAAGGTTAGCAGTTGATATAATATCCGGCAAGAAGCATATCCCTAGTTTGAATATGGACATTGATTTCAACGTGACTCCAAACCTGGACTTAGTTGAGCAACTCCTCGACAACCTAGAGTTTGGGTTTGACAATCAGGAGAGACTCGTATATAGCGAATTGAAAAATAGAGTCCACAACAACTCCAAAAGGATATTCCACCAAGTAAAATTGTCTCTTGTCGCGAGAGAAACAATAAATACTCGTTCACGAAGAGCAATACGTACAATTGAATTAATTATTTTTAAAACATAAGAAAAAAATAGTTTAGTGTTGAAACATAAAAAAAAAAGTAATACAAATTATTATTAGACCAAGTCTCGCCGTATATTGGCTTACCTTGCCAGCAAAGATGCCAATGACTTTGACAATGTGCTCAAAAAAGCAAGAAAAATTAATTGATAATCTTCCAAAGAAGGCTCTAAACATGGAACTAGCCGTCATCCGGATTGCTCAATCAAGTTGGAAAAGAAACGAGCTAAATTATTTTTTGGAGTAATAGATGCGTGTTTTCGTAAAGAAATATTTCAGTGAAACTGATTTATTAAAGTTCATTGACTCGTACATTTGTCAAGAGAATAAGGATTAAATGCTCGCCCAAATGATCATAAGATTATTTAGCAATGTACTCAACACAACAGTCTCTGGTGACATAAATTCCAATTTTTCTCAGTGGGCCTTTAGACAAAAGCCTGTTATTTTTATTTTTATTTTCGTTTTATTTTCGTTTTATCCAAATCTTACATTCCATGTTCACAATTCTACCAATGTAAATGAGTAAGTCAGTAATAGTTTCTATGCTATTTTCTGGGTGTCGTTTCTTAGAGAGAAAAAGAGAGAATCTTGGAAAGGTTATTTTTACATTTATTTTAAACATAATGCTTATTTGGCAAAGAAATCACTAACCATCATTCTTAAATCATCTGTGAAATGCCTTGATGTTGTAACCTCTAGAAAGCTACGATACAACGGTACAAGTATGTGACATCTACCTGCATAAAGGTCAGAAAGAAAGAGAGAGAGAAAGAAAAAACTCGACTTCCTTATTTTCACGCGATCTATCAAAAACAGTACAAAGACCACATGATGAAAGCGAATAAATGTTAATTATCATAAGCTGTACGAGTTAAATGGATATTGTAGCTGAGTGTGGATGGGAAGGAGTATGTGAAGGTAAATTGTATTTTCCCAGTATATATAAGCTCGGTGTCGCCTGCTGCTAACAAATATCACTTGGATAAAACACCCACCATTGACTGAACCACTTTTACCACAATAATGTTTATCGAGCAGATTGATAAACTTCGGCCTTGTGATTCAATTTCCAACAAAAGAGTGTCCGGATGAGGCGCGTTATTAGCTGAAAATGTCGGAAAATTGGTGAGTAATTTTGTGGTAGTAAAGTAGATGGGAATGGTCGACATCACATATTACTTATTTTCTTTTATTTTGCATGAAAAAGGAAGATATTAGTTAAAATTAAGCAAATACGTGGGTTCCATAAAGCTGCATCGAGGCTTACGACCTGAATAGACATCGAGAAGATATGGAGGTAGAGGCGAGCTTGAAATAATAAAGAGAAATAGGAAATGGCTAAAGCATTATAGATCAGAATTGGCATGGTTAAAATTAATAGCTAGGTAGCACTATTATCTACTCAACTGTTTATCTTGTTCTATTATATCATTACATGGGGCACATTGATTCATCATTCTCTTTATCGTTCCCAGGAAGAAATTATGCGTGGGATCAATGACCATCGCACATCCTAGATCAAAATATACAAAGCTATGTAACTGCGGTTACCAAACAGCATTTCCAGCCTCCATCTGACGTCTTTCTAAGAGGGAGGGTAACTAGCACTTTCTGCCGTCTTTTTTTTTCAGTCTGATTTCAAGAGTATTTCAAAGAGACGGCTGCGAATAGTAGAATTCGCGAAAATGCACTTTGATAGTACCTTCTAAACAAATCTAGCGATAGCTACACTTATATTCCCATATATATCTACTCCAACTCATCAATCATTGGCTTGTGGTAATTGTCGATCTCATTGGATTTCGGCTCCCTTGGCCCAGATATTAGACCATCAAGCATGATATATTCGGGATTAAGCTTCTTCCTACAAAGTAAGTTGTTCGTTTTCAGGTAACTAACCACCGGTGCCGTATGTGATACTACCGAATAGTTGAAACCAGTCGATACTCAATGCTAACATCAACGAACGACGTCGAAAAACAAAGAATAAAACCACCACTATCCTTCGATCTATCCAGCGCCGAAACGCCATATACGTCGCATGTCCAGTTTACCATATTCGACACCTTGTTTTATTGATGATTCGTGACCTCAAGTCCAGGGCAAATAAAAAAAATCAATGTATATTTATTGAACTGGTAAAGTCATTCACATTTAGCAACCGAGACACTCAAGCATAGGGTCTATCACTATACAATTCTTTTTACGCCCTTTGCAATTTGAGAGGGATTCTGTCCGTGTTTGCAATCCAGAAAAACTTACTGTCAGGTGGAAAGCTTGATCATAGATTTTTGACAGGTGCTTGGTAAATTCAATCAATGCGACGATGGCCGTGTTGCCAACGTATCGTGGATAAAATATAACAATGAAGGTAAAATTATACCAGCTGGTTGAATTGTTGGAGTATAACGGAAGTAGCAAATTGGTCTGTTTCAAAAATTGTCAAAAACAAACACTACTACTAATTTTTTTTAAACGAAAAATTATCACGTTATTATTTTTCATTTATGTATTCAACACTGGTCTTCACTATTCTGCGTCTAAGCTTCAGTCCCAACAACGCCGTGGTAGTTGCTGTCGTTGCTGTCGTTGCTGTCGTTGCTGCCATAGTAGTTCATGATGTCTGAGTCATCACAATTGACCCGATAGTCAAATAAGAGATTGTTAAACATTGAGAGGCATCATAAAAAGGTGAGTTGGGATAACTGTTCATGGCTTTCCCGGAATTACACTGAGATATCGAAATTACTACAAATAATAAAGACAATGGTTTATTAGCTTTATTCTGCTTTTTTAAGAATATATATATATATATATACCTTACTTTCAGTATCTACCCCCATTTGCTCTTTTGTTATGAGGATGGGTAGTACATCTTATTACTCTAAAAGAACCTTGCTGGTTATTATTGAGTCTACAGCAGTGGGAGTACGGGGTGTGTGTGTTTTGAGATTAGGGGAATTTATATATTATGTACACTTTGAATTATACTGTTATCATTATTAAAAAAACGATTGTTACAAATATTTCATCAATTGTCATTTTAAAGCATATTGAATTTAAAGTATTTTCGATTATGTTTTTATTATTTTGGTTTTAGGTGAAGATGGACGGATTATCAACGTAAAATTGCTGTACAGAAAATATGTAGCCGTAACGAAGTGGTACTCAAGTTGGATCACTTACCTCCACAACTCTCAGTACCCACAATTACCTCTATCTGTAAATATTGAGTACATCTGTTTGAACTACATTAAAATAAAACACAGACGAGGATCCAGTAAATATTTAACGATAGGTTTTTGCTTTCTATAGTATTAACAGCCAATGTGCATACATGTACAATGTATCAAGATGCAATTATAATAATGTATAATTTCGGACCGCCCCATCTCTTTTCTTTTTCTTCTTATTCTTCTAAACCCAAGGTTTACAAAAAATGACTAAAACTTTACCTTCCAGTAGAATATATATATTACAGAGTTTATGAAACCAAGAATTCGGAATTCAACTAAATAATAAACCAAATAAAAAAGAAAGAAGTTGATAACCATGGCAAGTTTGACAATGCTTAACGTAGCTAGTTAACCATAAGTGAATAAGATGGAGGGAAATTGTAGAAATAAATAGATTTTGAGACTTCACTGTCGTCTTTATAATGTCGGTTTCCCAAAGAAGGTCGATGGTTGCCAGTTACGAAATGACATCACAGCATCTCAGTTTTCATTATTTTCTCGAGATTCCTAGAGATCTCTACTATATATATAAATATATAAGAATAAACTAAGTATCGACTTCTTTCCCATTATGTACCATCTGATCAGACTTCTATTGTTAAGGACAACAGATATTTTTACTATTCTATACTTCTCTTGTATTTTTTGTTTGTTTATTGGATAGGCAAAACTATCTCTGGTAAAGCAACTTGGTATATATATGGCTTCATAGATACATTCTATGATTGTTTATCAATCGTAATATTAAAAAAAAATCAGTCGATTATACTTATTACCTTTACTAGTATTTGGGATATATACATATATTTATATAGTATAGCATAAAAAATACATGTGTATTAGCAATTCGACAAGTAAAAGTAATCAAAAACATTGCAAGGGTATTATTATAGCAGAAAATTAGTTGATATATATATTCATAACAAATACCCAACATACATCACAGACAGCTTAGCAATTATATAGAGTAAAATTATCGTAATAATGCGTTTCTATAATACAAGAGTACATAAAACAGATTAGCTTCCAGCTGACAGACATCAAAACTCGCTTATACTTTTGGTCTATATTTGATTATTTCAAAAATATAATATATATCTATATATTTGTATTCATGTGAGTGGGTATAGATGCAAATGAAGTAATGTTAGCCGTACTTGGCATGGCATCTTTAAATGAATGCATGAAAATAAAATAAAAATTATTAAAAGAGATGTAAATAAGATAAATTAAAAAATAAAATTATATTTTTGTTTATTTTGCTTACTAAACAAAACACGTCATTCATCAACAGCACAAATTGCAAAGATAACTTTAATTTTTTTTCTACCTGTTTAACCTCCAAGAAAAAAGAAATATAAACACTATTAAATATATACATACCTACTTTTAATTGAGATTATTTGAACAATCTGTTGCCTTGGTTAAAGGGCACGCAAGATACCAAAAAATAAATAAATAAATAAAAAATATCGGTTTCAGTCGGCATTTATAATATTATTATTTTTTTTATTTTTTTTGAAAAATCAATATTTATTAAAAAATAAAATTCATATAATTCTACTTTTCTCGACTTCTACTGATTGTATTTGTATGCTTCTTGGCTCTATCGATAGCTAATAAAAAGGAGTAACCGAAATGTGGCATTAGAGGCGCATTGTCGGTCTTTAGAATTTTTTCGGAGATTGAATCGTGCTACGATTAGATGGCCGCAGGGATTTGGTATAGTGCGAAGGTGGGTAAAAATTAAAATAAATCAAATATTTCCGCCCTAGCCGAATATCATATATATATATTAAAAAAAATAGAATTTATCTAAAAAAAATTAATATGTTTATTCACAATTTTTTTGAAATGCTAATTTATTATAAATATAATAAAAGCATTAAAATAAAATATAAATAAATAAAAAACAAAATAATAAAAAATAAAATAAAAAACAAAATAATAAAAAAATAATAATAAAAAATAAGAAAAAAATATAAAAACAAAAATATAAAAAAAAAACAAAAATAATAATAATATAAAAAAAATAAGAAAAAAAATATAAAAAAAAAATTAAATGTTGATTTTATACTTCAGCTAAATAGTTTATTTTATAGTAATTTTTTCGTTTGCTATACTATAATAAAAAATATACTCTAGAACTATAATATCTCTATTTATATTTCATTTCTTGAGATTTTAACTTTTATAATAGTCTTATTATAACAAGCAATCACAAACCTTCTCTTAATATGTAAACAGACTTTTCCTTTACACCTCTTTAATTTAATAAACAAATTATTAAAAGAAGAAAACTCATAACAGTAGTATTATACTGTTGTTTTATTACAAAAAAAACTGTCAGACATTATTTTGATAAATCCATATAATCTGAAAATAATTAACCACAATACCTCTTTATGCGCAGTAATATCTTCCTGAGCATTAACCAAAGTATAATGACTTTTCTTTTATTTAAATATAATATAATAGCTAATGCAGATAATACGTAGTATTAGTTTAGAAAACTATATATGACAATTCAATTCGTATCTATAAAAAGTATCTTTTATCCTATCTTTGATTTTACATATACTCCTTGATCCCCAGTTGGTTTGACCTTTTGACTTTACTATAGTAAACGGAAGACCAACCCAGATCGGGAACAACAAAACGACGCAAAAAAATCGAAATAAAAGAATGCTACCGCGTAGGGTCGAACAGGGATGCTCAGAACCAAAACACAACGCGATAACACTTGAGCTACGCAGCAATATTTAAAAATCCTATAATTAAACAAATATATCTCCGTTGCCTGTAAACTTATATATATATAGAAAGATTATAAAAGAGTTGTGAATATATAAAAAATGAAAGATTAAATATGATTAGAGTATGTAACTTGTATTTAACGAGATGATCAGATATGACTTGGATACTGACAAGTGTGAATATATATAATGTGATAGATCTAATGCTATTGACTAATATCAGAGATAGATAAAATGTTATTAATATATATAAGTAGTAAATCTGATGTTATGAGTTCATATATAAGTTATATTGGTTGTTATTCATTTTTATATATAGCAGCTTGATTATGATCAGTCTATATATATATATTAGATTATTTATTATTAGTTTATATATATAGCAAATTAGTAATCATTGATTTATATATATATTGGATTGACTGTTATTAATTTATATATATTGCAAATTGGCTATTATCAGTCTATATATGTATTGAATTAGCTGTTATAAGTATATATATATATATCAGATCAGCTATTATCAACTTATATATATAGCATATGAGTTATAATCAGCTTACATATATATTAGATTAGTTATTATCTGCTTATATATATACTATGTTAGCTATGATCAACTTATAGATATATTAAAATGACTATCAATAGTTTATATATATATAGTATATTAGTTTTTGTCAGCTTATATAAGTATGTAATTAGCCATTATCAATATATAGATATATTAAATTGATTATCACTAGTTTATATATATATCAGATCAGGTGCCATCAGCTTATATATATATTAAATTGATTATAATCAGTATGTATATATATTGGATCAGTTACAATCAGCTTATATATATATTAAATTATCTAATATCAGCTTGTATATATATCAAATTGACTATAATTAGTTTATATATATATTAGATCAGCTATAATTAACTTATATATATATATTAGATTGGCTGTCATCCACTTATATATATAGCAGATCAGCTATAATCAGCTTATATATATATATCAAATTGGCT